AGTTTCGGTTCTTCAATGGTTTCTCCAAGGGATGCTGCAGTAGAGGAGATCTCCGAAAGTTTTCCTGAAAAAGCATCTATTGAATCTGTCTCCTTCATCTTGATTCTATCAAATTCCGTCATCAAAGTTTGTAACCTAGCTTCTCGAACTCTTTCAGCTCCAACATGTCTTCCTTTTATTGCGTCCCAAGTTTCTTTTGCAGTGTTGTGGTCTCCAACTTGTAAGATCAAGGCTTCTGGTATGGATTGGAACAATAAGGCTATTGCCACATCGTTCTTCTCTTCATCTGGATCTCTCGGATCTATGGTCTTCCACACCTTATTTACCCTAAGCGCAATTCTCATCCGCATAGCCCAAACAGTGTAATTGGAGGAAGTAAGCATCGGACACTTTATGGCAGAGGATCCGATTTCTTTTGAAGGTGTTTTCGTGTTTGGTTTCTCATCTTCTTCTCCTGACGAATCTGACATCGTGAATTGCTTTCACGTTCTTGCTCTGATACCAATTATTGAATCAAACAAGTTTAAGAACACAAGAATAAAGAATAACTCTCTTTATTAATCTCAAGCTCTCAATCTTACAATCTCTCTTTCTCAAACTCTTAAACTCAAAAACAACTCTTAAGGATTACCACAACTTTGGTATCTCTTTATATAGAAAACCTAAAGACCTAATCTAAGTCTAACTAGGTTTAGCATTTAGATAACTCCTAAACACTTTTGGATAACTTCCAAATCTCTTAAACTATATCCTTTTATTTTGTTAACTCATCCCTCAAGTTAACTAACTCTTCAAGCTTAACTCAACAACATAATCCAGCATGATTTGAAGCAAATCTATGACATTAAACTAGAAGAAATGAACCATTAATTAATTTCCCGAAAGTTTTGCTCCTGGGCAATAAACTTCTTTAATTACCAACCCGGCTGAAGTTCACCTCTCCAATATGTTTGATACAAGTTTAGCTTTGTCGTTTATACAATTTTCCGGTCGCAATTCCGGCGTTGTATCCAAAATTTCTGATCACCTTCTCTGAAAATAGTTTTAATATATTATATTAATTAAAAAATGTTTCGAAATTTAACAAACAATTAATGTATAAATAAAGCACGGTTCTATATTTGGATGGCTATAAACACTCTAACCCATCCTGTCTTTGCAATATAGATATTACGGATGAAATAAAGATTAAATCTGCAATATATATAGATATTCATACTAATCCTAAAATTTTCTCACATACAGTAGTTTTTTTCCCCTTTAAAATCTAGGTTATTGTAATTTCTAATGTATATAAGAACATATAAAACATACTTATCAGCATTATCTTTTTTGTTTTTGAGTTGGTCATGTATTGAGATTCAGTCTACAGTTTTATTTCCGAGTCTTAAGCTGGTGGGTTCGATCACATGCAAATTACATTTGTCTATTACTGTTACGTAAATACAAATATACACCCCATATGTAAGAACAAGTGTGTATAACTGTGTAAATCTCCAATATACGTACATTGTTTTCGTTATCTTCTACGTAAATTAATTAATTTTAATTCGTCCTATATATTGTTATGTCGATTAATACCCTTTAGTCTGATGTTCTAAGTCCAAACATACAAACATCAAATCTTTACACAAAATCTTAATCTCGGTGTGCGGGCAAAATTGCGACCATACAACTTTTTTTTTAATTATGCCTAACCATTATTAAATCTGATCTGAAATTGGTTATTTCCTTGGTTACAATTCCTTAAAGATTTCGACCATACAACACGAAATGGAATCAACAATACTCTATTAACTTAATATAGGAGAAACTCGTGCTTTTAGTTTTAATCCTCGACGATTTTCTGTTAATTAGTACTCCACTTTTTTTTTAAGTTTTAAAATTTTGATTTTATCACTGCGATATGTGGGGTCACCTAAGATCCTTCAAGAACTTATATTCTTGATGAACATAATAATGTTCACATTGGAATCGTAATCTTATGTTATGATTGTATATATATGTGTCACGTAGTTCGACTTTTAACCACTATTAGATTTTCCAAATATCCTTCTCTATCTATCTTTTTGCTTCACATATCTTATCATATTAATATATAAAATTGGTTGAGCTTTATAAGAGTTTTACATGAAGGAAAATTACAACTATTAATACTATAAGATTTAGATATATGCATAAACGTATTTAAATATTGACATGTCAGCTTTAAATTGATATAAGTGAAAATTGCAAAAATTAAGAATTGAAGAGAAAAACCATGGGCAATGGTAATATTTAATTAAATCGAAAAATACATTATGGATTTATATATCTATATATACATTTTTGAATGACTTTTAGCAAATAAATCCTGGAGTTGGATCTTATTTACGGATGAATGCCATTGGCATTAATTATTTAAATTTGAAAATATTACTTAAAGATATTACCAATACGATTTCGAGAATCATAAATTCATATCTTCCTTAATTTTCTGAGTCATTAATGTGATAATCTTTAGGAAATATTTCTCTGTAAAAAAAAAATCCACATTAATGAAGGCATTAAAATCGACACTGACAATTAAATTATTTAGATGTTCAATTATTTTAAGATTCTTATATCTTATTTGATATTTTTTTTTTAATATCTCATTCTTTAATTACTGCGTTTAGAATTTATTGGTTGTTACCTATTTTTTGGTGAAATTTATTGGTTGTTACTTAATAAGTAATTATGGTGCGTTTATTTTAGTTAATATCTAATTTAAAGGATTTGTTTTCTTTTATTATTAATAAATGAATAACATGTATAGAAATAAAAGATTTTTTTTGCGACTCCATAATAAATATATTAAACTCTTATTTTCTACATTTCTTACACATAATATCCTCTTATTCAATAACAAAAAATATATATTACATATTTTAAAAAATATTTATAATATTTAAATTATATAAAAAATTTGTAATATTAATATTATTTCGACTCTATACAAATTTATTATATATGTATATATATCTTATGTGAACCATTTAAAAGAAATTTTTAAATTGACTTGAATTATATAGCTTTTAAATAAAAGTATTTTTAAAAAGAAAAATAACTAAATAATGTTTAATTTCACGGGACGGATAATATGATGGGACGGGTTTGGTTGATATTTATAAAAGATCGTATACTACGGGTGAAATCCTAAAATTAACAATCAAAATAATCTATCAAACAAATTACATTTTGATTTTTTAAGAAAATATAGCCCCGCGGTGTACCGCGGGTTAAAATCTAGTACATATTACAATCTAATGGTAAAAATATGTTCTTTTTCAGTTTTGTTTTGTAAAAAGATCAAATTTGTGACTTTTGAACATGTATACACTTTATATTTATTTTATTTTGGTGAGAATTTTTTTTTTCTTTATGAGATCTTTAAAAGTGACTTTGTATTATATTTGATATTTGAGTATATTTCTAGAGATTAACAACAAATCTTTTATATTATGTAATTATAAAAAAAAAAGTAAAGCTAGCTTGGGATGGAATCAATGCAGTTCGATTAAATTTTCGCAACCTAAAATTAATAATTTCATTCTTCATATTATTAGGGTTTAAATATATTTTAATATAGATAAATATGTGGTTTTATAAGTGTAATTTTGATTAAACTTTTAAATCTTGTATTGTGTAGAAATTTATATTGTTTGTAATTTTATTAATTATTTTTATTACATGTTTATCTTCATATGTTAAAGTGTGTAAGTAGAGATTTACTATATTATAGCATGTGTAAGCGGGTTTCTAAGTACGAGAGAATTAAATTCTGCCTTAATTAAACAAAGGTTTCGATTAGCCGTACGTACCGCCATTAGGGAGCATACTTTGACCACTTAGGGAAAATTATAAATGTGTTTTTTTGACTAATTATGCGTGCCAAAAAGTAATACAGTATATAATTTTTTTTCCCACAAATATATTTTATAAATATATCGTATTTTCCATAATGAAATATTTACAAATTCTTCTCTTTATATGTTTACTTACAAATACAAATCATACCGATGCAATGACCTACGATCTAACCGGTTAGCTCAAGTGCTCAACCACTCAACATTTGAGAAATGTGATTTAGTTCGATTACCAGTAGGTTTTAATATGTATAAATGTAAATATAATCATATTAACTCATACGAAAAAGTATAATAATCCATCCAAATTCTGGTTCGTAAATAATACTCATACTTAGAGATAAGTTATTCTCATGGTAATCAAGCAAAAGATCGAAACTAATTTCTAATATAAAGTTTACAACTACGGTATAGATTTTTATTAATAAAAAAAGAAATGTGTAGATATAAGAAAGTGAATATGGATAGCCACCCACCCACTCCTCTCGTATAATCGGAATTTCAACCACCGTATTTGGGCTATAGATCTCATAACTAAAGTTATGGAAAATAAATAAATAAATTAAAAAAACAAATTAAAATATATTATGCAGAAAAAATATGTATTATTATCAAAATATATATATATATATATATATATATATATGTATCAACAAGAGATTAGGAAGGAAAAGACATAAGTTGTCCGAAATTGTTTTTGGCAAAAGGTGATCTTTGATTTTGCTTACAACATCGAATCAGAACATTTAATTTAGTTGTTTCCCCATTTCTTCTATCTATGGAGTTTAATATACCCAATAAATTTGATTAGTTACTTATTCCAGCTCTTAATATTATATTTAAAACATAATGTGAAACAGACGTATATAGTTTTATATAGAAACTATATATTATTAAAAACTACTATACTACTACTGATGACTCTTTGTTTACGTATAAGTTTTTGTTATGTAAATTTGTATTCGCAAAGAAAAAATTTAAGTAGCTTTTTTTCTTTTGCTAAGAAGAAATGAAAAGAAAAAAGAATTAAGTACTTATACAGTTTTCTTAGTGAGCCTTCTATATATAAGAATATCAAATAGTGAAAAAAATACGTAAACGATAATATTTTTTTTTTCCTGTGTGACACTATTGTATTACTGAAGGATTATTTATTACGAAACTATTATCTAAAATGTATTATTGACCCTTTTAGATTTAAATCGTAGCAGCCGACTAAACCAAAATATTTTGAAAGTTTTCCAAAAACACACAATATAGAAGAAGAGTGAAACTCATTAATTAATAGAAACTAAACTATTTTAACCGGACTAAAGTCTAAACAACATTACGTTTAGAAATTGATAATCGACGTTTTATAGAACTGGCGATCTCCTATAGATGAACCACCGAGAAGTTTCAAGATAAAAACAAAAAAATAAAAATAGCCAACACTCTTATCTATTCATCCATTTGCAGGTCAATGACAACGTAATTTTCCACAATCGAATCTTCCTTATTCTGTACACAAACTTCTTCTCTATGTATGTTATGTAAGTAAACTAATATTAAAATTGAATTTGTCAAAGACTTTCCTCTTGGTCACGTCTGCTATATATACTTGTCCTTCATTCACACAAATGTTTATCTCCAACACACTTCTCTTTCTCTCAACTTCTCTATCTCTCTCTCTCTCTAGCTCCGATTGTATTTTAAAGCTATCACGTGTCACGTGTCTGGTTCGCAGCTCTAAGAAAAAATGGGTCTTCCTCTAATGATGGAGAGATCATCAAACAACAACAACAACAACAACGTTGTCGAGCTTTCTCGAGTTGCGGTTTCAGACACTCACGGCGAAGACTCACCCTACTTCGCCGGCTGGAAAGCTTACGATGAAAACCCTTACGACGAATCTCATAACCCTTCCGGTGTCATTCAAATGGGTCTCGCTGAGAATCAGGTAATTAATAAACTCTTTCATATAATCAACTTTCTTTTTAATAAATATATTTTGCGATAATGTATTAATTGTCTTTAAAACCAAAAAAAAAAAATGTATTAATTGCCTCTCCATCATTTTCTACAAATAGGTCTCGTTTGATCTTCTTGAAACTTACTTGGAGAAAAAGAATCCAGAAGGTTCGATGTGGGGATCAAAAGGAGCACCTGGGTTCCGTGAAAACGCACTGTTCCAAGACTACCACGGTCTCAAAACTTTCAGACAAGCCATGGCTAGCTTCATGGAGCAGATTCGAGGAGGTAAAGCTAGATTCGATCCTGACCGGATCGTCCTCACCGCCGGAGCCACGGCCGCTAACGAACTCTTAACTTTCATTCTCGCCGATCCTAACGACGCCCTTCTAGTTCCCACACCGTATTATCCAGGGTACGTCAGACTTTGTAATAAGATACCGATATATAATGAAATAATTTTTTTTTTAAATATGGTCATTCATATATTTGAAGATAAACAACAAAGAAATAGCTGCAACAAACTAACACCTTTAAAAAAGAAATTATAATCTAGCATATCTTTTATTTTCAGTATTTTAATGCATTGTATTTACCAAACCGTTTATTTATTTCATTACAGATTCGATAGAGATTTGAGATGGAGAACCGGAGTGAAAATAGTACCGATCCATTGCGACAGCTCGAACCATTTCGAGATAACCCCGGAGGCGCTTGAGTCGGCGTACCAGACAGCTCGTGACGCGAACATTAGAGTCCGAGGAGTGCTCATAACCAACCCATCGAACCCATTAGGCGCGACGGTCCAAAAGAAGGTTCTAGAAGATCTCCTTGACTTTTGCGTACGCAAGAACATTCACTTGGTCTCAGACGAGATCTACTCCGGCTCCGTCTTCCATGCCTCCGAGTTCACCAGCGTTGCCGAGATCGTAGAGAGCATCGATGACGTGTCAGTCAAGGAACGTGTCCACATCGTCTACAGTCTCTCCAAGGATCTTGGTCTTCCTGGTTTCCGCGTGGGAACTATATATTCGTACAACGATAATGTTGTGCGGACAGCGAGAAGGATGTCGAGCTTCACGCTTGTCTCGTCTCAGACACAACACATGTTGGCTTCTATGTTGTCGGATGAGGAATTTACGGAGAAGTACATCAGGATAAACCGGGAAAGACTTAGAAGACGGTACGAGATCATTGTGGAAGGGCTTAAGAAGGCAGGGATTGAGTGTTTGAAGGGGAACGCAGGGCTATTTTGTTGGATGAATTTGGGTTTCTTGCTCGAAAAGAAAACTAAAGACGGTGAGCTACAGCTTTGGGATGTGATCTTGAAGGAGCTTAAGCTGAATATATCTCCTGGATCTTCGTGCCACTGCTCGGAGGTCGGATGGTTTAGGGTTTGTTTTGCTAATATGAGTGAAAACACTTTGGAGATTGCGTTGAAGAGAATACATGAGTTCATGGACCGACGAAGGAGGTTTTGAAATGAAAAAGAAAAAAAAAAAAAAAAAAGTAAAGTAAATCCCTTTTTTTGGTGGTTAATATATGGGGGAGGGAAAATTAATTTTTTAGGAAGGAGAAGATGATTAATTGAAAATCATTGATGAAAAATGGGTTTTGATTTGTTTCTCTTTTCTAGATATTATTGTTTGTTTTCTTGCTTTGGACGAAGCAAGTTAATTTCATACTCATCAAGGTTGATCTGTAATATTTGTTGTTATAAACGACTTGTTTTTTAAATAAAATATTGCAGAAATATCCTATCACAAAATTATCTCTATAACTTGAGTATGGTTTGTTCAACTGATCAAAACAAAATTGTTTACGGCAAGTAAAAATTCTGTTTATGTTGGTAAGATAATGATATACCTTGAAAATATTATAGACAGTATATACAAATTCACATATTGATCTTAAAGGTCATTGATCTGTATATATGTAATATTTGTTGACTTTTTTGTCCAAGTTAATATTTGTTGTCGTATACAGCAAATGGGTCTAAATAATATATTTCAATAAGGTTATGTCATTGTTGATGTAATTTTCTAAAGAGGTTAGTGTTGTTATACGGTCGGGTCTTTTTTGACTTGGTCACACTGTACAACTCTAACAAGAAATGTGTTCCTTTCCTTCTCTTAATATTATTTTTCCGAAAACACACACGGTTTCGGTGAAATCGAACTAATTTTTTGTTGTGGCTACCAAGTACCAAGAGGTATATGTGACGATTTATAACAAATTTTCTGAAACAACTATATTGTAGGGTAACATGTATAGTTCTAGTATTTTGTTAACCAAAGATATTTAATGTCATAACTCTCTGACTAATTAATCCTCGAATATTGTGACCAAATAAAGCTAGTAACAAATATTCTTTATATACAACATTTCGATGTTTGTTCTAGATTAACATAAGATAATCCTTACTAATCATATCACTCGTAATATCTAAATTTCAAACAAATAAGCTTCTAAAAGAAGTGCACATTAAGATCCCGATTTCGAGTTTTCGACGTACGTTACAATTAGCTAGAACTAATTTATTTGTTTTGATATCTTCCGGTAAGCTTTTGGAAAGTTGGATCTAGCAGTGAATTATTTTCAATAATTAAATTTTAAACAATTGGTTCATTCGTAGCTAAAGTCTCCAAGTTATTTCGTTTTCTTGGCCAAGTCGAGGTCGTACACCACTTGGTTGAATAAAAAACAAATCAATTTAAGTGCAAGACAATTGACCATTGTCAACGGTCTCTATAAGTAATATAAATAATGCAAATTGTTATGGGTTATTTACAGGTAATTTTATTTATTTCTAAAAAGTGTATAAATATACATTATTATATTTTTGATGAGTTCATCTATACAATTAATGACAGGGAATGGTAGCTATATGGTCTAGAGGTTGCATGTAACGAAAATATAGGCAATTCTTATATCAGAGCATGATTATCAAGGATGTCTTAAAAATAGTTCTTAGAAATATTAAAATAATAAATTTTAAAATGGTTTTTAAGTGTGTATTTATTTCTTAGGTAAGCAACTCACCTTAGTTTTAAAGCTTATTTGAGAATTAATTTTAATTATTTAATTGCTAAGATCATTTAAGAAAATCTTAAGATCCTCTTGTTAATGATGGTCTCATGCACCTAGTACTAAAACAATCATGGAATATTTGATTCAATATTTTTTTAAAAAAACTTGCTTTTAAATCACTAGATCGAAAGTCAGGACTGTTGATGTCGGATCCCGCACCAGAAGTTCGGGACCAACCAAAGATTGCCACGTAGACAAGAGGAAGACCCATAAAAGATAAAGCCCGTCGGATCAGTGAGCCAAAAGAACAGTCGAAGTGGGTATCGCCACAAGTAGAATCCGAAGTGACTGCGTTTCGGCATGAGTCCGGCATCGAAGTCACGGTTGAGTCGGTTTAAGGACATTTGGGCCAAAAGGCGGGGCCTATGAAGATCAGAGTCAACTCAATTCAAACGTTGAAGCATTAAAGCCAAATATCAAAACGGACACATTTAAGAGAGAATAATTATACTTATTTAGCCATTTTAATGTCATTTTTCTATGTATAAATACAAAGGCCAATGGCCATGTAAGGGGGATCTTCCTCTCAAGAAAGAAATACTATAGCAATTTTCGTAGCAATTCATAACAGAAGTATTAAAACTTGCTTTTAAATCACTAGATCGAAAGTCAGGACTATATTCAATAAGTGTTATCGAACTTTGGGAACTCTAAATTTACAACTAAATTCTGAATGCTTTTCAATTGCACCAAATTTTCCAAATTTATATGATATATATATATATATATATATATATATATACACTTTGACTTAATTAGTTTTCTTATGTTATGAATATTTGTTACTTTCATTCCTTGTTCTAAAAATCGGCCGTCTAGCCGCCTAGGCGCTGATAAGAGGAGCACCGCGGCGATTTTGTCCAAATCGGTGAGAAAAATCGGAGATCCGATTTTTTGTCCGCCTGGACCGCCTAGGCGGCCGCCTAGACCGCCAGCCCGCCTAGACGGCGCTTAGCCCATTTTTTTTTTTTTTTACTTTTTTTTTTCATCTAAAATTCAAAACTTCCTACTTATGTTCTAATTTGTATAAAAATCATAAATTTGAAATTAAAATCTTGTTTTCATGTGTTTAATACAATTTTAAAAACAATATTATATAAATTTCTTAATTATAATGGATTAATATGTTTTTAAAATATTAAATAGCCCTAAAACTAATCCCCGATTAATCCCCGTGTAATCTCTAATTTTCTTGCTAGGCGTTAGGCACACCCTCATCGCCCGACTAGCGCCTAGCGATTTTTTGAACACGGCTTTCATTATGTCATGCACAAATAACAAACATATGTGGACATACTTTGACTTATATAAACTATATACACTATAATGTTATAATACTTCAACTTACAGCTAATTAGGAGAAGTATTTGATTTGACTAGTCCTTCCAAAAGGAAACTGGAAACCCCTTGATTAAATTTATTAAATTGAGTTTCGAAAGCGTCAAGGAAATGTTAAGAATTTAAGACTAGTGGACTTTGCATGCATAATCCTTTTTAAATTAATCACCGATTTGACACTTACTTAAGTCTCTTCATTTTGCATGCTTCATTAATGTCTTTGTACTTTACTACTTTTGACTTTATACATACACATGTCTCTATCTACGTATCGAATACAATTCTTGTACTCGAAGTTTTGGGTCAAAACTAATTACCTTTTTCCCCTTGTTAATTTTAGTAGTGACCAATTCTGTATTCACTGTGAATTGATCATTAATCTCATTAGCATTAGAAAACAGATACACGTACGTACTAACCAAATTCCTTAACCGATTAATTATGAGACTCAAAATCGGCTACGTGATAACCTGATAGGCGTCTTCGAACTGTTTAATTAACACATTACGAATTTTGGTGCCTCTCATTTACACGCTTTCCAAAAGCTTTGTACGTGAATACTTTTGACTTTATGTTCTTGTATATTATAATGTACCTATAAATGGTCAAAAGATTCAATATTAAATTTGTAATTTTGTGACAACTGCTACCAAAAATGTTTTGTGACAAATGCAAAGATGGACTTTTATTTTCTTTTTGTTTGTCAACATGCAACATGCAAAACCATGATATTTTAAAATAAAAAAGAATATGATATAATTTATTTTCATACAATGTAAGTTTAACGAGTGAAATATATATATAGTTTTTTTTTAATTTAATGTTAAATTATATTCAAAAGAAAAATAAACGTTTTTATAACGAAGTGCTTCTTGAATTTGAAATAGAGTTGAAAAAATTAGCTGAAAAGAATTCTATGAAAATTTGAAAGTATTAGCTCCGAGTAGCTAGCCACATTTGGTACGCCTCGTCGTATCTTCTATCTCCCATGCGTCGAAGAGTTGTGATCTGGTTTCTGACTTGTTTATCTATCCACCTTATGATGAGTGTTTCCGAGTGTTGATCCTCGCCGTGCCTACGACCATTCCGTTCCCGCCAAATCATGTAAACAATAGCTTGAAGGGCGTATCGAGTTAGAAACTCTCCACTCTGCCTTATTGATTATTGGAAACATGATCGATGAGTTGTGACCAGGCTGTAGTGAACCTTTTTTTGAGAATCCCTTTAGCAGTAGACTCCCAAATTCCTGAGGTATATATATATATAGCTTTTCATTCATGCTGAATCTAATCTAAACGCCCGAAAATGACAGGAATACAATCAAACCTACGACCTCTTTTAAGAATTAAGAGGCCATTTAATTTCTCTTTTGTTTTTTAGCATTCTTATCTACTAGTGTTTTTATTTGCCTATTAAACGAAAAGTTGATTCTCTCCTTTTGTTTTATGAATTTATGATATACTCCGTACATTTTTTTGGTATGGTGATGATATACTTTGTACATTGCAAACATCAATATTACTTTTTATTCCTCATATTACTTTTTAGAATCAAAATGTGAAGAATAAAAAGCCGCATCCACACGTGTGTCGTGGTCGTTAAGATTTTCCAATTCAATGCTACTACCTTTTTCAAAAGTCAATAGAACAGCTGGAAGAATCTTAGCCGTCAGATCAGTCCCCACACCACACGCGTATCATGCTGACAGGCTGGTGCCTAAAATCATTGGACACGTCCCACGTGTGAACCAATCATCAACGACTCAACGTCGTCATTAATTTTACTTACATTGGTCTCGTCTTCGTGTCGTATTACGATCGAGCTGCTTCACAATTATGTTCTTATCGTTACAACAACCCGAAAATCTATAAATCTTTTATTGATTTGTCAAAAGGAATACACGTACTTATATAGATATTGGACCCAAATGTGGTTACTGGTTAGGTTTAAAGTGCTTAGTATATATCAGTTCTAAATTAGAACTTCTAATAATTACTAGATTAATTTGAATATTGGTAGTTCGGTTTTTTTCTTTCTAAATGCTAATTCATATCATCCATTCTAATTCTGTTAAAAGTATGGACAGAAATTCCTTGATATGAAACTTTGAAAAGAAAAAAAACCTTGTGTTGCATTATCATTCCAAGATTGATCACACTTAAATAAAAATAATAATTATATAGATTAGTTGGATGATTGATGATAGATATATCATTGCTATTGAAAAAAATGCTAAAAATTTCTTCTAATTCAAATGATAAAAATATTTCTGTACATTTACTTATTATTTACTAAACTCGAATTTCTTGTAGAAAATACTTGTAATCAAGTGGTTTTTACTACTAGCTAGTAATCACGTCGTATCCGTTGATTAAACTCTGTAAGCATGTGTTGGAGTTATAGACTAGAAAAACAAATGGGCAAAAAATAAACTGAATTACTAAAAATTCTTTAAATGATTTCGTTACGTGTATTATTGCTTATTATGATCTTTTTTGTTTAGATGATTTTAGTGAGACGAAATAAGAATAGAAGATAAATATGCATGATATCACATGCCAGTGGTCCAGAGTATTATTTGATGACAATCTAGTCAGATTATGCATTTGGTGTTATGATAGCTAGCTAATCATTAACCAAAGAATGAGATCCAATGACCAATTAATATATTTGATTAGCGTGTTTAATGAAAGATGATATATAATTATAATACGGTGTTGGGTGAGATATATATATACTGTTGTTAGTTGTTACTCGCTTTGTACATATAGTGTTTGTATTATTTTATTCCTCTTCAATTTAATTGAATAATACTCATGAGCTGATTGGTATTCAATAGTTTTATTTAGAGTGACAATAATTTTATCAAAAAAAAAAACTTACACCAAATGAATATTCTATGCGCGAGAGTGCGAGACCTATCAATTCAATTCAAATTCGATATTATTGGGCCTGGCCCTGCTTCTTAAGATTCGCTTACGTTTGATCGACATAATTTTATTTTGGGTCAATAAAGGCCCATATAAGGCCCATGCTGTTTTTTTTTTCCGCATTCTCTTATTATCGGAAAAACCTCAAGAAGAAGAAGAGTGGTAACAAAACAAAACCCCAAAAAACTCACAAGTCTAGAGATTCTGGTGTTGATCTAGCTCGCGCCCTCCTTCTCCGGTAGTACAATCTCCGTCGCCGATAACATCAGCAAGGTGAGAGACCTTTTCTCGTTTGATTCGAAGTTTCATCTCTTTTTTTCCAATTTATTCCCTTGAGGGAATTTGTCTGCTAGATCTACACTTTTAGGTCGCTAGCTTTGATACGACATTTGATTGATTATGGACCAACGAAAGATAATGTAACTTTTCATTAGTTCTGGGAATTTGGGATGATCTTAACTTTTGATGATTAGGGTTTTGTTTTGGTCGACACTGATATTAGGTCCAACTATTTTGATTTAGTTTTTGTGTTCTTAATTCTTTAAGAATTTGATTTTGGAATTGGATTCTTTAGATAGACAGGTCCTCTTTTAATTTGTAATTCCAAATTGTGTTATGGCTTAGGGAAGAGTTTTGAGAGATGGCATCGAAGTTGCTACAATTGAAATCCAAGGCCTGTGAAGCATCGAAGTTTGTGTCGAAGCACGGCACAACTTACTACAAACAGTTGCTGGAGAAGAACAAGCAGTATATCCAGGAGCCAGCCACTGTAGAGAAATGCAATGAGTTGTCTAAGCAGCTTCTCTACACTCGACTTGCTAGGTTGTTTTTCCTTTTACTCTCTTATACGACGGTCCTGGATTCCGTTTATTATGTTTGTTAGAATATAAATTGCGTGAAATCCTGCTAGTGATGTAGATAATCCTGGTTCTTTATCAATTGGGTTAGTGATAGACTGGTAGTGTTCTGTGGGATAAAAGAATTTTGACATTCTAAGTTTTATGGTTCTGAACCATGAAACCCTTCACATACCTAGTTACAGTCTCTACTTTGCTGCATCTGAACTAGATACCAACAATCACCTGCTTATAGAGAGTGGTTTTTGTGTCTTCGGTGTTGCTATGACTGACTTGTTTTAAATGGATCGCAGTATTCCTGGGCGTTCTGAGTCATTTTGGAAGGAAGTCGATCACGTGAAGGGCTTATGGAAAAATCGAGCAGATTTGAAGGTTGAAGATGCTGGAATTGCTGCACTTTTTGGTTTGGAATGCTTTGCGTGGTACTGTGCTGGAGAGATCGTAGGAAGGGGCTTCACTTTCACCGGCTACTACCCTTGAAGAAAGAAAGCAAACCCGTCATAAACAAACATGCGTTTTTAAAACCATTGAATGCCGAAAAGCCTTTTATATCATAACTAGCGGCTTATTATCTATCTCACGGCTCACATTAGAAGCAAAGTTAATTTCTTTTTCTCTGGATAATGAATACGCAAAAGTTTTGAAGCTGAGGCATCATCACTCATGGTAGCTCTAATAATATCAGTTGACTACATGTTGGCGTTTGTTTTTTTCTTTGTCAGTTTCATTGATGAGAACAACCATTTTTCTTGCTCATAATAGAGGAAACAGAAACAAGATTATCAAAAACATCCGCTTATTTCAATTGGGTTTAAAGTCGTCTATAGACCGTTTGGTAAGATGTTTCATTCGTGAAACCTTAGACTCTATAAATCGTTTGGTAAGATGTCATTCGTGAAACCTCAGCACTTACCAACCTTACCAGAGAAGAGTAAAACGACATTATGCCAGCTCTTCCGTGTAGATTCTTGTTTTATCGCAAAAAAGGACGAAAAATCCTATATTTTTGACAATTGTCTGAAAATACGATTAGGTTCAGAGTATTTCAACGTTGTCTTGTCTCTGTCATTTGTCTATCGCAATTTCGCATAAAAGCAAGCCTTGTAGGTGTAGAAGCATCACACAAGATTGTAGTGGAAGATCGAAAACTGAGACTTCAGTCCTCAGGTATTCTCCTCTCTCTCTCTCGACAGGTCCTCACTATAAGTTTTCTCTCTGTAACGTGCGTGATAATTTTTGGATCGTACGTTTATGCTCTTTTCTTATGAGTGTTTGGATAGTGAACCTTAACTTGATTAAGAAGTCAACTGTTTGCTAAATCAATTGGTTTTTGAAGAAGTTAGTTCTTATAATCAAGCAATTGGATAAGATAACATCACATAAAATTCACACGTCTTAATCAAAGGCAAAGCTTATGGTGTTTGAAGCTGTTTTCCTTCAAAACTTGAAAGATCTTCACTTTCAGAAAAAAGATTGTAAATTTCACCAACCCATAATCAATAAAGAACCACTTATTTTCTGCATAGCCAGTAGCTTTTTTAATTGTGCAAGCACGATTGGTTGAATTATCATGGCTATTATAAATTATGCTCTTTTCCTTGAGCAGAGATACTTGAGTGTGTTTGAGAAAGAAGACTGTGATAACAATGGCTAAGGATGAAGCCAAGGCATCAGATTTTTCCAAGGGATTGCTGAAAAGTGAAGAGCTCTATAAAGTGTGCCCCTACACATTTATCTCTACGTTTTTTTATAGTTCACTCTCCATTTCTCTGATACATTTCTTTGCAAAATGTTGCAGTATATACTGGAGACCAGTGTGTACCCACGCGAGCCGGAGGTTCTCAAGGAGCTTAGGAACATTACTCATAACCACCCTCAAGCTGGGATGGCTACTGCACCGGACGCTGGCCAGTTGATGGGGATGCTGCTTAAACTGGTAAATGCAAGAAAGACTATCGAGGTCGGGGTTTTCACTGGATACTCTCTTCTCCTCACTGCTCTTACATTACCAGAAGATGGCAAGGTATGTACATATATCTGACCAAACCAAAAGAAAAAGTGTCGTGAGCTTTTCCGCTGTTCCGCTTCTGCAACTGATTCGGTACACGAGCTCTGCAGGTTATTGCCATTGATGTGAATAGAGACTCGTATGAAATAGGATTGCCGGTTATAAAGAAAGTTGGTGTTGAACACAAAATTGATTTCAGAGAGTCTGAAGCTCTTCCAGCCCTCGACGAGCTTTTAAACGATGTAAAACTTCATACTTCTCTGTCTTTCAAAAAAATAAATAGTATGTATCCTCAGATGGTCTTCATTTTTTGAAGCAGAAAGCGAATGAGGGTGGGTTCGATTTCGCATTTGTGGATGCAGACAAGGTGAACTATTGGAACTACCATGAGAGGCTTATTAGACTGATCAAGGTTGGTGGGATAATAGTGTATGACAACACTCTCTGGGGAGGATCAGTTGCTGAGCCAGACTCCTCCACGCCCGAGTGGAGAATAGAAGTCAAGAAAGCAACCCTCGAGCTGAACAAGAAACTCTCGGCTGATCAGCGTGTGCAGATCTCGCAAGCTGCGCTTGGCGATGGAATCACTATTTGCAGGAGATTATATTGAGCTGTTCTGAGTGATCTTTTGGGTCCTGTGAATGTGAACCCTTTATATTGAGGTATAGTGATGCTAGAGTGTTTTGTTCTTTGAGATCTTTTGGGTCCTCAGAATGTCATCTTTATATTGAGGTATAGTGATGCTATAGTAGTGTTGTTCTTTGTGATATTTTGGGTCATGTGAATGTGAACCTTTTCTATCAAGTTTGTGGATTTCTTCCAATTTCAAGATTATAAAAGTTACCAAGTATTAAGAAAGAAAAGGGGCGTTCCGAGAATCGAACTCGGGACCTCTCGCACCCAAAGCGAGAATCATACCACTAGACCAAACGCCCACTTCAATATATAGTTTGTTATCTTTTTATAGAAGGCAGATCAAATCATTTGGTTTGTCCTCCAATGAAATGAACATTGAACAAGAAGAGTACAAGACAATATATATTTTCATCAAAAGTTTGTTAAAATTATCCAATGTTAAAAATCGTTAGCGTTAGCTTACAACATAAATGATACAGTATTTTTGTTTTGAGCTCAGAAACTATTGATTGGGCCATAAAATGACAGGTCTATAGTAAATTTAAAAAGCCCATCAAATCGACTAGGGTTAGTTCTTCTTCTTGTTGAGCGCCGCATATAAGCTTTCTCCATCTCTGTCACCACCGGCTCTGTATTTCGGCGTTCGTGGAGAGACGAAGGTACTCTCTTCTCTGCTTTGTCCTAATCTCCGTTAAAAAAATATGACAATGGATTTGTCTTCGTATTCTTACATTTTATTGGTAATCAAATGAAGTGAAGTGAGCTAATCGGCTTAAGATCACATATCAGAACTGAACAGATTTATTTTCGATATACGCAGGAACATATAAGAGACACAAAATGTCGGAGAAGAAGGGAAGGAAAGAAGAGGTGGTGACCAGAGAGTACACCATCAATCTCCACAGACGTCTTCATAGCTGGTAACTTCCAAAACCAAATCACTTTTGTCTTACTGCTTTAAATCTTTAGCTGTTAGATAGTGGAATCGGAATCTATAATAATGAGCTTTAAGCCAATGTGTTAATTCGATTTGTGCACTAAGCTCTACATGGAATTGTGACCTTGAAATGTTTCAGTACCTTTAAGAAGAAGGCTCCAAATGCGATCAAGGAGATAAGGAAGTTTGCTGAGAAGGCAATGGGGACAAAGGATGTGAGAGTGGATGTCAAACTGAACAAGCAGATTTGGAGCAAAGGTATCAGAGGTCCTCCTAGGAGAATCAGAGTCCGAGTTGCGCGTAAGAGAAACGATGACGAAGATGCAAAGGAAGAGTTCTTCTCTCTTGTCACTGTTGCCGAAATCCCTGCTGAAGGACTCTCTGGCCTTGGCACTAAGGTCATTGAAGAAGAGGATTGAACTATCTATCTTGTATTAACAACATCTTATCAGATTTCTGAGTTTTGTTTTTTTTTAAATCACTTATTGGAGAGACCGTTTATCTTATTGAATCCTTGATCCATGAAATGCCATTGAGACAGAATCTCAGTCTTGGGTCGTAACTAGTATCTGTTCAACCATCCCTGCATTTGTTTCAGTAAAGATTGACACCATCTTGTTCTATCGTGATCACATCTGCAGCTATGGATATGATTATGATGCACCACTCTCAAGTGAATTGTTTGAATCAATCAATACCTGGAATCTGCTTCATAAATCTTGTTCGAGTCAATCATGAGTGAAAGAGTCAAAACTTGCACTCTAGGTATCACAAATTCACTCTGAAGAGTATTCAAAGTAGTGATCATCTCTACCTTGCTTTATATGCATACATATAGTTCCTTAGTTTTTTCACTTCCTCAGATGATTCCTCTAGTAGATGGTCCACGTAAAGACAAATTCCAGCTCCACTGCAATTTCGAAGGACAGAAAAGTTGATGCAAACATTAGTGTTACATACGCAGGGCATACAACACAGGGTTATATCTAAGCGATAGATGCACATACCAAAGCGGCCCAAACGGAAGCCAGATAGCATCCCACCGGAACTTCGGAAGCCTAGAACATGAGTGAGAATAGATTATAAGCATACATTTACAGAGAGCACAAATGGAAGGAATAGACAAGAGATGTCGTTAACGTTGATACCGCATAAACGACTAGCACAAGGATTAATGCTACTAAAAATGGCTTTATAATCAGTGAACCGGTATCTCTAGAGCTATACAATGAGATTGATTGCATTCTAGCTTCTTTTAAATCTAATAGTAGTAATAATGAAAGTTTGTGAAGTGTAAGATGGTATCCGAAGTAATGAAATATATACTCTCTAGTGTACCTCAGCAAGTAATAAAGCCAAAAGATGGTCAATGCAGATCCAACAACACATGAGTACCAGAACCATCGTCTATGATCATTCTTCTTATCTCGTAGCCCGACAATGGAGAGGCAGCAAGCCATGATAGCGATCCACTCTGATCCAAAATCCAATGATAAAAAGTATTATAGTTGCAAGAATCAAAAATGCGACTTTCTTTTTTAAAGAAATGAATTGAAGATCAAACAGCAAAGTCTTCTGACGGCTTTAAGGTTTCAGTATGGCCGTAAATTGGTTCTAACAATTATACTAGCAGAAAAGCAGTTTGACACTCAAAATGCAATCACTCAATACCTAAGGTCTAAAACACTTAAGATGCAAATCACTCTTTCTATTTCTACTACACTATTCCACAAACCGATATGCTCTCATCTCTCAGTTCATCTCCTATGAACAGTGATACTCGGGAACTACAGCCAGAGGTTGAACATGTCAATGTGTGTATTAGATTACTGTGCATCTAACATATCTGTTTTTTTCCCATATTGATACAAGAAATTACACGACACTTCCACACAAGCTCAGTCTTGGCTGTACTACCATACAGATTGACAAGAAAAATCTAATAAACCATGACTATAAAGTATAAAACACACATATAGATGTAAGACAAACCAGCTGAAATGACCATCCATGACTTGAGATCTTCCATGAAGTAGGCATGATACCGCTGCTCAGAAAAAAATGGCATACATGAAATACAGAACGTACAATATACATACCTTAGATAAAGAGACATTTGTATATGTAGTATAAGTATGTAACTCCATACACAGGTAGAATTAGTGTATCACATATAAAGATTGCAAGTGTACTCAATTCTCTAAATTATTAGCTCACAACAAGAAATTCAAAGCTCTAATTCCGAAATCTATCATTTAAACAACATCAATATTAGACTGAAAACTAGTCGATCAAATCGAATTGCAACAAGCACGAACAAAGCCACACTTAGGTAGAGATTATCAATTACCAGTTCCCATGGTGACACGAACTGCTGGAGAATGGAGTAGAAGAGAAAAGCTCCATAGCATATCAGGAGAACCACGAACACACTCTACACAAAAGAGTAATTCAAACTGTTTTAAGAAACAGAAGTCTCAAATTTTGAAGAAATTGGATACTGTTCTCCGATCAACCATACCCTCCATTGCCGACTTTGCTGAGCATGAGCTTCCTCAAGCGACCTAACGTGCTCTTCTTGCTCTGTACAACAACGATGATAGCGAGAAAATATTACCAACTTGCTTTTAAGAATCTGCCAAAAAATTATTTCACAGGATGAGAGTAAGAAACAAAACCTTGCGTATCAATAGGCCGAGAATCGACGTCGTCGGAAGTAGGAAGAACGAACTTATCATCATCTTCATCGCGACGAGTTCTTCGCCATTTTCTCGCTAACTTCTTCATTTGATTTTTCTTCAGATTGCAAAAAGAAAACTCAGAGAAATGGAAACCTTCAATGAGATTTAGTTACACAACACCGTTTCTTCAACGAAAGTGTCTCCAGCCAAAAAAGTCTATTGAGAAGCCCAGCCCATATTTAAGCAATATTGATTCGGTTTTTATCTCCGGCTTAATTTAGTGTATTGAAGAAAATGGGCTTTAGATTCAACGTAAGCCCAACAGTTGGTCAAACTAGAAGAATTTACACAAAAAGAAACTGCAAGACTTTATAACGAATAATTTAAGAGATAATTCAATAAGGCAACACATGGCAATTTATGCCATTTACACAAAAACATTCAATGCACCGATTTAATCCTTGCGCAAATATATTATGAATTATCCTCATTTCCATATTAGTTTAAGAATTTTTAGATTTTCATTTTTTCTTTATCTTCTCCGACTTAATCCACATGCGCTAATAAATATGATGAATTATCCTCATTTCCATATTGATTACAATTTTCGATTCCTTTTTCTTTATCCTCTCCGATTTAAATCTTGGTAAACAATCACTTCCTTCAAAAACGTTATTAAACGATGAAGATTTCAAATATTCTCTAATTAAGTCCATACTTAATTCTCTATTCTCATTTAATTCTCCTCTCTCTCGCTCCCTTATATAATAAGATGGTTTCGCATATCTTTCATTCACTTATAATCACAACCAAAAAAAAAGAGTTCCTATCTTTCAAAGAAACTAATTTTCTAAAGATGGCCCAAATGATCGAGAAGAAGATCGAAGATGACGTGATGATGAGCCCTGATGGTGATAAAAGAGCTTATGTCACTTTCCTTGCCGGGAACAAAGACTACTGGATGGGTGTGGTTGGTCTAGCCAAAGGACTTCGTAAGGTGAAATCTGCTTATCCTCTTGTGGTGGCTATTCTCCCGGACGTGCCTGAAGAACACCGTCAAATCTTGGTCGCTCAGGGATGCATCATCCGTGAGATCGAACCAGTCTATCCCCCAGAAAACAAAACCGGTTATTCTATGGCTTATTATGTTATCAACTACTCCAAGCTTCGTATTTGGGAGGTAAAAATCTTTATAACTATATATTTATATTTATTCATTATATGACCGTATCGTTTTTTTTGTGTGTGATTGTTATTACCAATTACTTTGATTGTTACCTTAGTTTAGAAAAACACAATACCGCCTAATATCACTTGTGGACGATTTTTTGATTAATCACGTGTCGAACGTTAATGTCCCATGTAGATCTATCAAATAACATTGCACAAATATATATAATTAATATTTCAAAAAGTCGCTGTGTATATTTTTCGCCAATAATCGTTACACATGATATATGTGCCATATCTAACGACTTATTAATATATCTAAATGCAGTTTGTGGAATATGAGAAGATGATCTATCTAGATGGAGACATTCAAGTATTTAGTAATATCGATCATCTTTTTGATACTCCTCGTGGCTATTTGTACGCTGTCAAAGATTGTTTTTGCGAGGTTTCTTGGTCCAAAACTCCTCAATACAAGATCGGTTACTGCCAACAGTGTCCTGAAAAGGTGACTTGGCCTGTCGAAAGCCTTGGTTCTCCACCGCCGGTTTATTTCAACGCCGGTATGTTGGTTTTTGAACCAAATCTCGTCACTTACGAGGATCTTCTTCGTGTTGTTCAAATCACCACTCCAACTTACTTTGCCGAACAGGTACGATTTTGTTTGCTTTTTCATTATATGATATTGTTTTATTTTTCATTATTTGATTTGAGTTTTCTTTATTATACAGTCTAATATTATTGCTTATTTTTTGTAGGATTTTCTGAATGATTACTTTAGAGACATTTACAAGCCAATCCCTTCGACCTATAACCTCGTAATGGCTATGCTTTGGCGTCATCCTGAACACGTTGACCTTGACCAAATCAGTGTTGTTCATTACTGTGCTAATGTACGTTTTATTTCGTTTTAAATCCTTAATTTCATCTCTACATATATGTATTAACGTATATAATATATTCTTGTTACTAAAATTTTATATTTTAATCAATTGTATAGGGTTCGAAGCCTTGGAAATTCGATGAAGCTGAAGAGCATATGGATCGTGAAGACATAAAAATGTTGGTGAAGAAATGGTGGGACATTTACGAAGATGCGAGTTTAGACTACAAGAACTTTGTCGAGACTGAGCCTAAGCTAAGTCCGATCACAGCAACCTTGGCTTCCAAGGAATCTGTTGGCGATGTCCTTACGAGCCTTGCCCCATCTGCCGCATAACCAATCCTTTACGTGGAGACTTTATTATGGAACTTTTTTTTTGGTTTTAATGAGAGGTTTAGCTATATATATAATTTTATCATAATTATATATAGCAACCTCGTTTGAGTTTGATGTTTGTGAGATTAGAATGGTTGGTCTTGTGTTTGTGTTTGACTATTGTGTCAATGTCGACCTTGACCACCCCTTTACTTCTCTTTTTAATCAATAATAAGAATGTTGTTTTGGCTTTAATTCTTCCATTCGTTTTTTTTGCTTTTTGTATAACAACTTAATTATGTTTTTATTCGACAATAACTTTTATACATCAATGGTAGTTGACGAATGGATGATAAATGATATAAGTGATAATTTGTATAAATTAACCATTCGATGTGTATGTAATTACCGAACTAGTTTTAACAAATTTTTGGTTAAAGGCTAAGAAGTATGCACATTTCCTAAAGAACACCGATGCATCAAAACCGAAGTTAAACGGTAAGGACTAAGGAGCTTCAAATTTTTGGTTACCGAAGTTAAACGGTAAGGAGTTTAGCTTCTCGAGGGTACGTATTAAAATGACTCTTTCTTGATGTAATTCTATATTACATTCAGCAAGTAATCCGATACATTAAAGTCTTACTATTTATGACACTGGATTAAATGAATAATCAAACAAAGGATATAGAGATTATACGATACAAGAAAATTAATGCGGATTTTAGTATACAAGAAAATTAAAGGAGAGTATAATTTAAAACAAAATGATCCCAAGGACATTATTACTTATTCCATATAAGTTAAAATTTTCCGATTCTGAAACAATCCGAGTCCTACCAATATGGTAAGAAAATAATAACTAAGACAATGAATCATATCTAATCAAAGAATCCGTAAAATATGAATCTTACTTATGAATCGTTCCCTCCAGTATCCAACTAGATTTTATATGGAAACGGTATCTCATAATATTAGCGTATTTAATGAATAACTAATTAACAGTTGACCAAACAAAACCTATACCTCATAAATCAATATATTAGTGTGGTTTAAAACTATAATATTCTTTAATTTCAGTAAATGCATTGACCAAATATTGTCCATACTTAAATAATTTTGATCGGTCTGATCGTCATGAACCGATATTGATTTCGGATACTTTAACTGTTGAAATTTTACATTAGTATTGATTGATAAGACGACGTCGCTGTAATATGTCACCATCGCTTGAACATGGTTTTTCCATTTAAAAGATTAAAATTTGAAATGATGACTAGCTATTCCTGTTATAGCCATTACATAAAAAAGAGAAGTAGAGCTTGGATTTATTCGTTATGTATGCTTCATTCAGACATAGTGGGTCGTTGAGCTTAAATGATTTTGTCTAATATCCAATTATTGTACTTGATCCATATAAAAAATAAATATACAAACATTTTTACGGATTTTTATGTCAAATAAAAAATTGCTCATGAATTTATTATAAGCATATCAATCTTTATAATTGCCGCTCAATTAGTCATTACGTTCCTACTATATCGTTGGTTTATCAAAGTTTGTTCTTACTATATCGTTGGTTTGACTAGAACAATATGCCAACGATATAGTAGTAGGATTGTAATAATACACAATCCATAGGCCACATGTGTATTAACTTGTGTTAGATCAGTTAGTCATCGATACCCTATAAAAAGACAAAGTTTGACAACATAATACAAGGATTGAAAGGCAAATCTCAGTTAGTTATTACGTTCCTAGCATATTGTTTGTTTACATCGGTTTATATTCTTTTGAGTGTAATTGTGTAAATATTAGAATACGCAATTCATAAGCCATATGTGTTTTAATTAACTTGTGTTAAAAAAAAAAAAATTAAACATCTTTTTATTCATCTTTTCTTTTCTTCTCCCCTATAAAAGATACCATTGAGAGAACTTACAAATAATAAAATTAAACTTGCAACAAGTACAAGTATACTATTGACTAGCTAATCTTGTTATAGCCAATGCATATAGAAGATGAAGTGGAGTTTGGATTTATTCTTTATACATGCTTCATTCGGACACATTGTGTCGTTTAGCGTAAATGATTTTGTTTAATATACAATCACTGTATCCGGTAGTAGACTGCTCTAGAATCAAGTATATATAATTGCGGCTCAATATTAGTTATTGCATGCGTTCCTAGCTCATCGTCGTTTGTTGTGTCTTATTATGCTGGTTTTCTTTTAAGTATAATTATTAATAGTTTTGAAGTATCAAGTATGTGTGTCTTCGCCGTAAAATTTTTGATGGTGTGATTTTGGATGCCGAAAAAAATTGACGTAGTTTTGATTAGTGGAGTCAGGTTTATGCCAAGTTCTATATGGTAGATGAAGCTACCCAAAAAACTAATTTTATAATTAAATGAACTTTTTTTTTTTTTTTTTATATTAAGGATAATTCGTCGTGCATGTGTAAAAAAGTAAATCGGTAGAATTAAGATCATAAACATATGTTACTCAACAACCATAGAAACCAAAGCTGTTTAGCCTCTGTTTTCCCCAAAAGAAAAAAAACAAACAAAGATCATAACATCTTAGGCCATGTATTGCTGAGTCAACCCCAACTTTATTTTATGGACGCTTTGACTTGTATAAGCTTCTACAAGTAAGCTAATATATTTCCCCGATGTTGTTATTGTCAAGGAGAGGAAATGTCTCCCAATCCTAATCTATTATCTACTTGAAGGGAATTGCGGTTATGAATTCAGAATGTTGCTGATGAGCTTACATGGGAAAAAAGAGAACCACGAGCGCGTGTCTCTCTTGTCTCGTCTCTCTTTCTATTCCATAAAATGTTCTAGTGAAGACCATGATTTCTCTGCACCACCACTATAGTCAAAGGATGTACCATATATTTTCTCTCTTTATTACTCGTCACCCTTTCGTACCCGTTCTCTTTTGTCCGTTTCTTCTCTCTAAAACCGTTCTTTGAAGATGTAAAGCTCTCTTGAGAAGCTTATTATTCTTCGTAATTTACATGGTTTCCTGGCTTAGTTAACACAATGAATATTTTTTATTTTCCTTTTTGATTAAAATGAATTAAATGTTAGGGATTCAACAAAATTCATGATATATTTTCCATTTTTTTTTGTTCGAAGTAGAGGAGGTTTCTACATTTTAATTTTAGAAGAAGAGCAAGGACAAGACCGGAAAGTTAAAGTTTTTTTTTTTTTTTTTTTTTGGACAAACCGGAAAGTTAAAGTTAAATGGAGGATTTTCGATGCCAAAGATGGGCGAAGTGTGCGTATATAGTGGTTTTCTTTGCAATTATAAATTATGCGGTTTTGAGTACGTATATCTTTTTAAAAATTAAGGTTGTGATTTTGGATGCAAAAAAAAAAAAAGAAGTTGTTGTTTTGGTTAGTGGCGTTAGGTTCACGTCTATTTCTACATGTTAAATGACAATACCCAAAAATGGATAAGAGTAATTGAATAAGGACAACAATAATTGTACCTATGTTGTTCTATTTTTGTTATCACGTGTATAAAGTATATACAAAACCCACATGTGTATCTGCAGTGTGCATATGTATAACCCTTCAAAAAGAAGTGACTAGGCGGAGGATTTTCTCCACACCACCACTATAAATACTCGTAAATTAAAGTCTTCATCACAAAAGTTATATAATCAAAAGGATAAGCATATAATCTCAGGTGGGCTAAAGAGAACGGAAGCACCTTGCCGTCCAAAGAACAGTTTATCATTCCTTTTACTGGTAAGCACTTCAATTAAATATATGTCTAAACAACATTCTAAATTAATAGTACTAAATTAAGAGCAAAGATTATTTTTATTAATTACTTACATATCCGCAGCATTGCACACGTACGGCTGGAGAATACACCCATGGTATGAACGAGGAAGAGAAGGAGAACATGAAGTTGCTATACACGTTTTCGAAGTAATTAATTACATTTCTTAAACATGATTTAAGTTATTCTTTTGGTTGACTTGAATCCTTATAAGTTGAATCACTAATTTTCTTTATATTCTTGTTAATTATTACAGCAAGTATTCGAGTTATACAGCAAAAGCAAAAAATTCACATCTAGCTACCAAAGACGACGAAGCGTTCTTGGCACCAGAAATGAATGCATTCAGCCGTCAATTCAGGTTCTTATTTTGTTTCATCTATATACACCGAATTATAAAAGACATTATGAATATAAAAATAAGGATTGAAAATTGGAGTTTATTTTATTTTATTTTATTTTTGGTCGGATCTAAAACCTTGACTTGATCCATAACGATTGGTATTTGGTCGCAGGGACTATGATGCTGAGTCTGAAAGGCAGAAAAGCGTGGAAGCTTTTTACAAAGCTCAGCATATCAACCAAACTGTCGCTTTTGTAAGATTCTTTAAACTAATTAGGGTTTATATTTTTTTGACAAAAATAATAATTAGGGTTTATATATTTATACGAGACATCTAAATAAAATCTATGTGATCCACGTAGAATATATATATATGTGTTATATCTATATAAGTAAGACAATGTACTTTTTCAGGTGACAAAGATGAGGGCTGATTTTGGAAAATTGGACAAAAAGGTGATGAGCATTTGGGAATGCTGTGAGCTCCTTAACGAGGTCGTAGATGAGAGTGATCCAGATCTTGATGAGCCTCAGATTCAACATTTGCTTCAATCCGCGGAAGCCATCCGCAAAGATTACCCTAATGAAGATTGGCTTCATCTAACCGCTCTTATTCATGGTAATTTGTTATTACTAATATATAGTGCCTTTTTTTTTTGAATTAGAACAATGTATATGAGTATCTCAGCTAGTTCATGGTTAGATTAATTTAGTTTCAATAATTGAAACCAAAACCAAAACTAAAGAAGATCCGATACCAAAGCACGATTAATTTAAAGACTGACAACCAAAACTGGAATTTATACTAAAGGATGTGGATTAAACAAATATAGTTAGGGCTTGACCTTCATCACGTCAACATGAACTTTGCTTTTGCTGTATAAGTCGCCCTTACTGTATTAACAATAATATATAGCAATTAGAGGTTGTAGATATTAGGAGCAAGACTTAATCATGTATTGATCCTAATAACTACGGTCTCTAAATTGTTGTATATTATTGGTATTATAGCAAGTACGACTTATACAGCAAGGGCAAAGTTCACGTTGATGTGGAGAAGGTCAAGTTCTATTTTATGTCTCTGATCTAGAAGGTAAGTTTATATTGCATTTTCTTTACCAAAAAAAAGTAGTAAGTACTCTCTATTTTTAAAGAAAAATATGAATTTCAACTAATTGTTTTTTCGATTTTTTACAGTATTATTCCGGAGGTGGTGGTGGAGTGTGGAGAAGAAAATAAGTGGCCATGCAGGATTTGCCAAAGGACTTAGTGGCCGGGGCACTTAACTCATTGAAGAAGAGGATTGAACAATCTTGTATTTTTCAAGTTTTGGTTTTTTTTTTACGTTGGAGTGACTTCTAATCAGGATTGAACAATCCATTTTATCTTCTTAAAAATCCTTGATCCATGTTTCATGAACTGCGAGCGATTCAATATGACAACTTCTGTTTTACCATCCTTTCATTTTTTCTATTAAAGTTTGACCATCTGGCAATATTCGATTCATGACCACATGCATATATATGCATCTATGAGTCTGATTTTAAGGCACCAATTTCATTTTTCTTTTTCTTTTTCAAGTGAATTGTGTGAATCAATCACGGATTCATTATACAAATGGACTATTTAGCAACAGACGGATGTTATTAAGAGGGATGATAGAGTCAAAACTTGCACTCTTGCTATGACAAATTTACTCTGAAGAGTACTGTGATGGCCTTTATCTCTATTCTCTACCTTGCTTTATACGGATACATACAGTTGCTTAGGCTTTTCACTTCTTCAGATGATTCCTTGCCTTCAGTAGGTGGTCCACATCGACATGTTCCAGCTCCGCTTCAATTTCAAAGTATAGTAAGTTGATACAACATTAGTGTTACAGACACCGGGTACATATACGCGATAGATACACATACTAAAAGGGGCCCAAATGGAAGCCAGATAGCATCCTACTGGAACTGTGGAAGCGTAGAACACGAGTGTGAGAACAGATTATTAGCACAAATCTACAGAGAGCACGAATGAAAGGAACTGAAGAGAAACATCACTATTGGTATGAAACAATGATTCTATATGTTTGCTATAGCTTTCTTCTAAATCTAGTAACGGTAATAATAATGAAGGTAGATCAATTGTAAGATGGTAGGTGATACTAGTGAAATGTATATATGTCGAGGACTAATCTAGTTTTACCTCAGTAAGTAATAAAACAAAAGATTGTCAATACAGAGACAATAACAAACGAGTACCAGAACCACCGTCGTCTGTGACCATTCTTCTTATCTAATTGGCCCAGTAACTGAGAGGGAGCAAGCCAAGATAGCAATCCACTCTGATCCAAAAAACCGGTGTGCATGTAAAAATTGAAAATATGCGAAAAACAGAAAAATCGAATTGAAGATCAAGCAGCATAACTTTCTCTGATGGTAGTAAGGTTAAAGTATGGCCATAATATATGGTTCTACTAACCATGTATCAAGAAGTATTTTTAGGTGCCTAAGGTCCAAGAAACTAAAACTGAACACACTCTTTCTCGCTCTACATTAATCTATCATCATCTCCTATGACATTTGATACTCAAAGAACTACAGACAGAGTTTTCTATGAAAGTGGGGAGAGATTAATATTCATTAAACATAGTCACATATTTGTTATTTTCCCATATTGGTACAATAGCTTAAACACCATTCAACACAAGGTCACTATCGGCCATACCACCTTAAGAATGGCGAGACATAAATAATGATTAATGAACGCATGATAATACACAGGAAAAAATGGCATCACTTGAGAAGAATTCATGAAATACAGACGGTACAATATCTTAAATAAAAAGACATTTGTATATGTATAAGTTAATATAACTCCATAAACAGGGAGAATTAGTGTGTAATCCATATAGTGAGAAATTATCATATACCAGTTTCCATGGTGATATGAACTGCTTAAAAAATAGAGTAGAAGAGGAAAGCTCCATAGCAGATCAGAAGTACTTGTTCTTCTTGTCGAAGAATTCTCCCCCGTTTTCTCGCTAACTTCTTCATTTGATTTTTCTTTAATTCTAGCTCCATTTAAGAGTCTAGCCCATAAAATTATAAGCCCAAAATAAGTCAATATCCAATTACCCACCCATGAATGGTTTTAATATTATGGGCTATCGCATGTCAAGGGATGCGATATATTGTAATTGTAATTGTATATATACGAGAGATATTTTACCTACACAGTATATATATATATATATATATATATATATATATATTTTTTTTTTATATATACGCTCAGTATATAGTTGACGTATACAATTATATTGTAACATTGAATGTGTAGAAAATTATAGATAGCCTTAAAATTAAAAGAAACGCATTTGAATAGATGATGAGTAGATATTTCGTCATGCATGTGTGGAAAAGCAAACCGGTATAATTAAGATAACATATAAATGAAGGCCACGTAATGCTGACTCAAATCCTATATTTATTTTAAGAACATTTTGACTTGTACAAGCTACAATCAAGCTAACACTTTTTCATACTTTTTGAGGACTAAGCTCATGCTTATTTAAGATTAAGGACAACTTAATTGTTCATTTTATAAACTGTTGGCATATTAAAACAGATTTACTGATTTCTCAACTATTAAATTATGATAGTGTTAGCAAATTACTAACATTGGTTCTTGGTCAAGTAAGGCTGTTGACCGGATACAAACCTTATCTTATATACTCTCAATTTTAAGTAAACTCTCTGCATAAATCTATAATTATGTTCAACCAACATAACATTTTAAGAAAGAGTATTCAAATAAATGTACAACAAAAAATGAAAAATTCTTGATTAAATAATTATTCTGATCTGTGGAGGTGTTTTTTTGGACATTAATGTCCGTTTAGAATTATATTTATCAACCATAAATCAGTTTCTAGACTGAAAACTATTCAAAGATATTTTGGTAAACGTCATCTAGTTAAATCCCAAATCACAACGTATATTCAATCCATATAAGCAAAAATAGAAACTACCGATTCTTATCTAAATTGATTAAAACACAGTCAAAACAATAGCACAAAATCAGTCAAAAATAGCAAAAATTACACCAGAAAAATCAAATCACTGACTGATCATTAATTTCCTTATCGTTAACTTTAGACAATACAAAAAAAAGGAAAAAAACAGAAAGTCGTTTCTGGTTTGGATAAATATAAAAAGTAGTTGTTTAGGGAAAATACATAATTCGTCAATAAGGACTTAGATTTTCTCCAAATATCAAGGAGGGGAATTGTCTCATAATCCTTATCCACCACTATAAATACCGTAAGTCATAAATAAACTCGTAAAGTCTTCATCGCAAAAGTATATATAATCAAAAGTTATTTTCTCTCTCAATTAAATCTAAACCGTCGTAACCATTCTCTTTCGTTTTCGTTTCTTCTCTTTAAAAAACCGTTCTTCGAAAAGATGACGATCTCTGTTGAGAAGCCGATTTTTGGTAAGAATCTATTCCCACGATATTTGGGAAAAAAATGTCTCTATCAAGATACGTATTATTTTCCGGCTAAATCAACGATTTTCTAGGAAAACAATGAAGTTTTTTTCCTCAAAAATAATGGATTTTGGGCTACCACAATAAGTTTTGGGGAAAATATTCATGAATCTTTTTTTTTCTTCTTTTCGAAATTATATACTATATTTTACAAAGATTTGTTTTTCCAAGTAGAGGAGGGTTCTGCATTCAAGAAGAGTGGGGACAAGATCGGAGAGTTCAAATTGGACGGAGGATTTTCGATGCCGAAAATGGACACCGAAGACGATGAAGCTTTTTTGGCACCTGAGATGAATGCATTTGGACGTCAATTCAGGTTTTTTTCTTTAATTTTCTTCCAAATCTATAAATTCAATTCAAGAATATTTAATTAAATCAAATCGAGTTTTTTTTTTTTTTTAGTATTTGGCCGGATCTAGACCTTGACTTGATCCATAACGTGTACATTGGTATTTGGTCGCAGGGACTACGATGTTGAGAGTGAGAGGCAAAAGGGCGTCGAAGAGTTTTACAGATTACAACACATTAACCAAACTGTCGACTTTGTAAGAACTCTTAAATACTAAAACTAGGGTTTATGTTTTTAATGACAATCTTATTAAAACTTATGTGATCCACGTAGAATATGTGTCTGTGTCATAATCTATTTCATTAGTAAAGAAAAATAAAATAATTGTGAATTCTGTAGGTGACAAAGATGAGGGCTGAATATGGAAAATTAGATAAAAAGGTGATGAGCATTTGGGAATGTTGTGAGCTTCTTAATGAGGTTGTGGATGAGAGTGATCCAGATCTCGACGAGCCTCAGATTCAGCATTTGCTTCAATCCGCGGAAGCAATCCGCAAAGATTACCCTAATGAGGATTGGCTTCATCTAACCGCTCTTATTCATGGTAAATTTTGTTATAATGTAACTCATGGTCTTTTCTATGAATTAAAGTGTTTAGACTTTTTGTATTATAGAAAATTTTAAAAGAAATATGATATGTAGATCGCTTTTTTATTTATTTATTTAAGCGATTGAATTTTATACACCTAGTTGTGTAATCTGATAAGCTTATTTATAGAATTTATTGAATTTTTCAGATCTTGGAAAGGTTATTACTCTTCCACAATTCGGAGGACTTCCTCAATGGGCTGTTGTTGGTAATTCAAGTTTAATTTTGTGAATAATATATTAATTATGCGAAATATATGCGAAACATATGCGAAACTAATCGTTTATTTCCTTTCACAAAAACTTACAGGTGACACATTCCCTGTTGGCTGTGCCTTTGATGAATCTAACGTACATCACAAGGTACATAAATGATACAATCTCATAAATTGTTGATAAAAATTAATTTATTAATTTTGTTAAACGTTCTTTACATACTTAAAATATATGATTTTTATTACTTTCTCATGAGTTTTATACCCAAAACAAGCAACAATTAAATAACATAAATCATATATTTACATTGTTTCTCTTTTCTGCAGTACTTTATAGATAACCCAGATTTTCACAACAAAGCCTACAACACTAAAAATGGGATTTACTCCGAAGGATGTGGATTAAACAATGTCATGATGTCTTGGGGCCATGACGACTACATGTACCTGGTAGTTAATTGATTAATACCTTTCCATTGTTTAGTAATGATTTTCTTACAAATTTTATCAATCTTGATTATTGTAAAGGATCAAGTGATTTTATTTATAAGTGTTAATTAATATTTTCGCAGGTTGCTAAAGAAAACGGAAGTACCTTGCCGTCTCCTGGACAGTTTATCATACGATACCATTCCTTTTACCGTAAGCACTTCAACTAAAAATATATGATTTTAGCAACATTATAAATTTGTAACTATGAGTAAAGCTTATTTTATAAATTAATCGAATATATGCAGCATTGCACACGGCTGGAGAATACACCCATCTTATGAACGAGGAAGACAAGGAGAACCTGAAGTGGCTACACGTTTTCAAGTAATTACATTATCTCAAACATGATTAAGTGATTTCTTCTTTCTCTAAATAGGATCTCTAATTGGTATATATGATTTTTATTACAGCAAGTACGACTTGTACAGTAAGAGCAAAGTTCATGTTGATGTGGAGAAGGTCAAGCCCTACTACATGTCTCTTATCAAGAAAGTGAGTATATATTGCATAATGAAAGTATATTAATAATTATTTGAAAGCATTCATATATATATATTTCTTCCACAATTCGGAGGACTTCCTCAATGGGCTGTTGTTGGTAAATCAAGTTTAATTTTGTGATAAATATTTTAATTATGCAAAATATATGCGAAATATATGCGAAACATATGCAAAACTAATCGTTTATTTGAAAGCTGACTATATATTCTTTCTTCTCTTTTTTGATTTGCAGTATTTCCCGGAAAACTTGAGGTGGTGAATTCGGTGGAGGAAAAGAGGCTATGAAGGAGTAGTCGTTTTATCTACTTATAAATATTTTTACACATTGTCGAGTTAATCTGAATCTATGGTAATTGTTATATTATATCTTATGTTAATTATATATTCAGGCTGTCTCTGAATTGTAATTACAATCAACCCTCGTGAATGCTAAAGAGTTTGTCCGTTGGGGTGATATAAGATCTTAAATAATGAAGTTTATTTATAATCCATGGACCCATGGTATACAAATTGTGCAATGTAAAGTAAACAAAGTTAAATTTTGTGCAATGTAAAGTAAACTAATCGTGTGAATGGAATAAAAACTGAAAGAAAACACACAAGTGTACAACAGTACTACTGATACATCAATACGAACAATGTCATGTCCTTAAAAGCTCATACACACTCAGATAGGGAATGTTCAAATTTATCTCGGTAAAGACCTTTATTGCAATCTCGCTTGGTCATGGATGATGATGATCCTTAGCTACATAGCAAGCATGTTTGGTACGTAATTTTCTATCTGACGATGATAATTTTCTTACTGTCATGAAGGATTCACCATGTTAGTTGAAAGCAAGAATTTGAATATTTGCATTTTGATTTTAGTCCCGCACATTTTTAATGTTTTAAATAGAAAAATAATCATAATCACATTCACATGATGATCATGCATTGACAAATACTATGGACCCTAGATGATTATAATCAATATAAGCTATTAATTTTTATTTTTGTATTCGCAGAATGTAAAATCGGATAGATGGAACTTATTTATATATCTGCTTCATCATGACGTGGAAAATTACAACATGAGGCATCTATGTTGTGCCAAAAAGGGTAAAACCGTCAAAACCCTTTTATTTTACTCCTACCTAAAACTTGTAACACCATTTGAAAACGTCAAAGCTTATGTCGTTGTTCCTATGTTCAGGTCACTTGTTGATCTCTTTGGTGACTGGAGGAACATCGACCGTGCCATTGCAGTTGCCATCGTCCAGGAGAGCTGACATCGGCTTCTCTTTATTATCAAAGACATCTTTGGGGCCCAAGAAACTCGGCTGGTTTGTCGAAGATAGTAGCCTTGCCCACATCCTGTCTGTGATCACCACATGGTTCTGTTTCTCCGTTATCCTCTGCAACATCACAGCCGAATCGACACAATGATGATGAATTACATGCAAATGATGATAAATTGATGATGATGATAATTTTATAGTAATAAGGTATAAGGATAATGATTATAACGGTGATGATAACAGATGAGATGACATTATGATGGTGCTCTGTTTTTCGATTGCCAAACCGATGTTTTGACATCATTAAAATATAAATCGGTTTTGTGACTTACGTAGAAGGGTATGTAGGTTTGTCGTCCGTTCACTAAACCACTGATATAGCCAGTGTATCCAGCCATTGCACCGTGCACTGCACTCTGAGCCAGAAGTGTACAATAAACATTGTCTGACGCATTGCTGGGAACAGCTCGAATCATGTATGTTGGATCTGAAATTAAGACAAGAGAAATGATCTAAGAATCAGAAAAACAATCAAGAAACTCATGGTGGAGAGAATGAAATGCAAGAGATATGAGTTGTACCTATGTACTTGAGGTTCATCACCATCTTCTTCTGATTAAAATGATCCTACAACCGAGCAAAACCAAAATTTAAAAGTAGGTGAGTTTAGTCTGATTTTACATGAATGTTTGATGCTTTCTCTGTAATATATGGTTTACCTTGATGCTTTGTGACAGCCAAAGACCAACATCTTTAAGAAGTTTGTTACCAGATGCATCCTTGAGTGTCATAGATTCCATGCTCTTCGACATTAGATCTTGTCCTGCACCTTCTGCAATCACGAGCACCATGTGACCACTCTCCTTGAGCCGTTTCTCTATGTACTCAAACAGCCCGCCTTCACCTTCCAGGTAAAATGGTTACTCCGGAATCAAACAGCAGTCCACATCTCTGCTTGCTAGAGTCGCGTACATCGCTATGAAACCTGTTAAAAGAGTGCATGCCCTTGTGAGATAATCTAATAAGAGAGCTTGAAAAGGCGAAGAAGAAGAAGTAGAAGAGTGAATCACTCACCGCTGTAGCGGCCCATAAGCTTGACAACGCCAATACCGTTCTCTATACTCTCCGCTTCCACATGTGCTGCGTTAATAGCTCGTTGAGCCTCTTCTACAGCTGTGTCAAACCCAAATGATTTGTCTATCACCTGCACAAACACAAAAGTCAAGTTCTCAATTTCTTCACGTAAAAAATACAGCTCTTCTATAGAGATGAAGTAGAAAGGGATACATACAGGTATGTCATTATCGATTGTTTTCGGGATTCCAACAACTGCAACTTTCAGGCCACGTCGTCTAATTTCCTACATGGTTACCACCAAAAGATCAGTAAATGCTGAAATTGTACAAATTTGTAAGGTATAAATGGAATTTACCTCAAATATAACAGATGCTCCTCGCTGAGTTCCATCTCCTCCTATAATGTAAACCTGAACGATGAAAAAAAACTACATCAAGAACGAGTTTTTATATACTTTTGGAACAGAACACTGTGTAAAGAGGTGGTGGATATCCAAACCTGATTGATTCCTCGATCTTGAATGCTGTCAACTATCTTTGTGGTATCGTGACCACCTCGCGAGGTCCCGAGGATAGTCCCTCCACGCTTATGGATATCATTTACGACTTTAGAGTCCAAGGAGACAGTATTCTTAGCATAAAAGCCTCTATATCCACCCTGAAAAAGTCTCAAGCATGAGAAAATGAAACAAAGACCGTGTTTGTTTTGGTATAAAGGAGATTACAATCACAAAAACTTACATCTATTCCCAGTATTCTCTTCACTCCATACATATAAGATAGACTGCTCACAATTTCTCTAATCACGGTATTAAGGCCAGGACAAAGACCTCCACAGGTAACTATGCAAGCATGCACTTCATCAGATTCGAAGTATACCTACAGAGAACTAAGTCAACAACAGATCCTGTTGAAATGGAAAAAGGACTTTATAGCAATTCGACAAACGAAAAAACCTTTTGACGTGGCCCGGCTCGTCTAAAATGAATCCCCCTTGGGCCATCCTTGTGAACAACGATCTAAACAACAAGGAGAAGAGTCAATAAGAAAAACATGAGCTCTAAATTCTCAGGCTGCCATGGATATTATAGAAAGCTCCAAACCAAATATACCTTTTGAGGAACACTATCATCAGCATCAACAAAGTATTGCCTGAAAATTCCAAAAAAAAAAAAAAAACTCATGTAACAACTGCAAGCTAATGATTGAATCACCATAGAACATAATTAGGAACCATAGTCACCAAAACATCTGTGAAAAGAACTTACTTCACCACTGAGTATGCTGGATTGTCTTGCAATGGATTAGGATAAGTCTGCAATAACATAGAGCCAAAAGAAATTTACCATTAATCAAACTAAACCATCATTTGATTCTAACATGATAATGACTAAAAGTCTAAAACCATGTCACAGATTTTGATCCAAGTTCATAATTTTTGAGACCCAGATACAAAAGATCCCTCTTTTTTCCTTGGGCTATCTTATACTAATCAGAATCTGAGAAATTCATTTCGTCTATCTAAAGTTTCCAAATAAAAAAAAAAACTAAACAGTTATCAACCAGCTGAAACTGATACACAAACATGCACAAATATCTACCTATATAGTTAAAGTTTCAATCTTTTGCAACAGTAAAGCTCAAAAGCTAAAGTTTTAGTCAAATCAGATCAAAAAAGAAAAAGACCAGAATAAGAGATCAAGAGTTAACTAACATACAGGAAGATCAGGAAGGTAATCGGAGAGATGAGGAACATCTTCTAGAACATAACCACAAGAACTATTGATGATCTTCGGTTTGCTACTTTCCACAGTACTCATAACGACTCACGAAACAGAGGAACAACAAACTTCAGGGGAAAAGTCTTATAACTTAATTAAAAATCGAATTTTTTTTTTCTCGTATAGAGACTTTGAACTCGTCAACGACAAATTGAATACGAAATCAGGAAGAAAGATGAATCAAATCCGTAGATGAAAAACAAGGCGACCCTTTTTTATAGGATTAGAGAATTTTGACCATTGGAGTCGGTAAAACAAATCAAGCCAGCTAGAGAGAGAGAGAGAGAGAGCGAGAGAAAACCATTAAAGGTATTAAATTTGTACGGAAATGGTGGTTTTGGTCACTGCTTTGGAGACTATTGATCAAACATGTGGCGGGCTTTGACGGATTTTGCCGCAATAATATTGGAGAGTGTGTGTAACGACGACGACTAGTACAAGTCATTTGGTCGATATTGGTTTCTATTTTGTTACCTTTTATTGATTTTTTCCAACTGTTGGTTACATGATCAAAGGATAAAGCCATAAAGGTACTTATTGTTACAATGCATTTCAAAGGAAAACACAAACAACACAACATCATTCAGAATTTTAAAGCCATGCATCAAAAGGGTCACTTATTAATTATTAATTTATTACAATGCATTTTCAAACCAAACCTCAGAATTCCAAACCGGAATCTTTGAGTTTCTCCTTCATGATCATGTCGATTTTGTTACCCATTTCCGGAGTTAGATGATTCTTCCAATCACCAACTATCCCTTTGCGGAAATGGTTCTTGTACTCTATGCCATTGATTGATTTTCCTGTCTTGTTCACATCCAAACTGCTCAGGTTAGGCAGAGAACACATCTCCAAGATCTTATCTATTGATCCATTCCTTTCTTCTTCCTTAGAAAATGGACAACCCAAGAACTCTGCAAGTTTCTTGATCTGACCATGAGGATCTGTTTTTATTTCATCGTACCTCATGAAAAGCACTTGCTTTGGCTTTTCCAAGCTAGCTTTCCAATAACTCAGGATATGGTCCCAGAACGGACCAAACAAGCAGACTCCGCTGCAAAAGGACTCAAACATAGACTCAAGAATGGTTCTGTCCTCTTCTTTATTCAGACTCCTGCAAACGATATGCCAACGTGACACCAGAGAATCCTTCGCGTCCCTGCAAATGTAAAGTACCTTGCAAGGAGAGTCTTTGAGAGCTACTTGGAGCGTATTGAAAGGCGTGTGAGTAGAGAACAGCCTTGGAGATGATGATGTGAGCTTGGTCAAGTCCGGTGTTTGGGTATCGCGGTAAAGATTCATCTCAAGGACAGGTACGAGGTTGTGAGGATTGTTGGATAAAAGAGGATGGCTCGTAGGATCATCAGACGAAGGGTTCTTTGATCTCTCAACGAGCGCAACTGTGAGTGCCTTGAGCCACAGGGTGCCGCATTTTGGGTACGATGCGACGATAGCATCGGTGTCTTGAGGCTTAAAACCTCTCTGGAAATTGAGAACGCCTTGGAGAAAGTTGTAGTAATACCAAGAACCTTGGTACTTGCAGAGGTTTCGACCGAGGTAGGCTTTCTCTGAAGGAAGTGAAGAGATTAGAGTCTTTGTTTCTTCCGTTAAGTCTTCGTCTCTCATCAAGTTCATCCACTTCTCCATTTTTCTTTTGTTTTTACTTTTAGCTACTTCTTTTGAATACAAATTGTGTGTTTGCTTCAAAACCCCTAGGCTAGCATCACTATTTATATTAAAATGTTAAAATAGTTGATCCAATAAAACGTTTACACATCACTTTTAAGTTTTAAGATATTTATTTTGTATAGTTACGAACATGTATCTCACGAATCGAGAGGCAATGACGTAAAAGGAAGAAAGAGAGAGAGAGAACGTGGTAGGGGCAAATAAATCAGAAATTATGAGTGCATGTATTCTTATACTAGAAGTGTAATACATACAAGAAATTAATTTATTCTACTCGTCAAAAGTATGTCTTCCTATAACTAGCTTAAACAACATATAATTATACCTTTTACGATAGCTATAAATTTAAAATTTTAAAATAAAATCTCTCTTGTTTGTCTATAAGATAATAGCACATTAAAATCTAAAGATTCTAAAAGTGTTTTTTTTTTTTCCTGCTGCGAAGGACTCCATTCACTTTCCAACTAGAATCTACCATCGATTCTTATCTAAGTACCTCAGCCTTTGTCTCAGCCTGCCCGAATGGTCATTTGATGATTCAAGAATATACAGTGTCCAGACCTATATCACTTTAATCGAGAGTGTTTATATTCAAACGTACATGACTTAGCAATGTCAGCATTAATATAAATAATCACTGAAACATTTTTTTTTTAATAATGCAGAATTTTATATCATAGATCATTTCCTATCGCAAGATAATGTCTTAGTTGGATTACAGGTTCTAGCAATCTGCAGCTTTCATTTTTATTTTTAAGGTGGTTACTGGCTAGTTTAAGTGTGACGTAACCATAAGAGAATTGTTCCATTTTAGTTTGTGTGTTACTACTAAACGTTGGTTCCTTACTAAAATAGTTGGCGGGAAGGGTAATTTTATTGGCCTACACTTCTCTGCTATTTAACCAGAGCTTGAAAAACAAATATAGATGTGACACAGTTCATAAGAAAATATACAAAATTGAGGGAACAAATTTACTTAACATTTTGTAAAATTTACGTGTATATAGAATTTATCATTAGCTTACAATTTTTATATTCATAGAATTATACAACACCACAAATGCATAAAATCATCATTTATAATTAAACCATCATTTAAAAATAAATAGATGACCATACATAACATGTTAGGGTAGATGCGACGGTACTAAACCAGAAGAATTAAGACTAGATTGTTGGATCGCAATTAGAACTCACGGAAAACGTAGGCATGTCTTGGAGAATAATTATTTACATGACATCATTGATAGCATAAAAAAAACATGCTAAAGTAATAACGTTCAATGGTCATCATAATTACCAGCATTTACCTTTAAAGTAATCACGACAATTTCAGATCAATAATGTAATGCAGTAATGGTCAACATCGACTCACATTTCAGAATGTTAAACTCATCTTCATGGTCTTAATAATGTGCGGTAATTGTTCGAAAGACCAAGACTTAGAGACTTGGGACTAGACATCATGCACAACCATTTTCCCCTTTTTTCGAGAACAGTATCGCGATTCTACATTATCTCACCCTTGGAATGTTGGATTTCAAATAAACCAAACCGAAATAACCAATTTTAAAAGCCAAACCAAATAGGATTTAGATGAATTACTCTTTCTATATATGACTGAATTCGAATTTAAATGGAAAAAAAAAAAGACAATCCAAAATTTACAAAACCCTATATAAAACCGATTTTTATGTGATCAAGATAATTGATCAAAAAGCCCAATCCGAAATTCGAATTCAGTCGTTCATAATATTATTATTCAATTCGAATACGGGATCAAGATAAAAGAGTCAACGTTATGTTTTTATGCAAGGCCATAGAAAAATAGAGTACATATAATTGATAAGTTTGATAGAAGAAACAGAGTAAAACGTTATCCATAGGCCACAGCTTGCACGTAAGTAAGACCTATACATTATTATCGTTTATTCGTTATCCTTTTTTTCTCTCTTACTAAACCGTATCTCTTCGCTTATCTACAAGCATTTATGTAATCCTCTCTTTCTTTCTATATAGATAGCAAAACACACCTTAATCAAAAAAAAAAAAAAAAAAAAAACTAGAACAAAACACAAAACATCTCGACAAGAACTCTCTGTTCTGTTCTTATCGTTCAAGAAACCTTTTCTTGTTTTCCTTTTGGTTAAGACTTAAAAAAAAAGATCAATTCAGAATCCAAACATAATTGACAAAAGAAGCAGAAGAAATGATCATTCGAGATGGTAATCTGATTTCGACAACAAAAGAAGAAGGTGGTGTTGTAGGAGTTTCAAAATCCTCGGAAAAAGAACCATCTTCATCTTCATCGTCTATCTCTATTTATTCATCTGATTTAACAGAGGATGCTTCTTCTTCTTCTCCAAATGGGCCTTTTGACGACCTATCAGACCTAATCTCTCAGCTCCCTTTCACGTAATGACTTTGATCTTTTATCTCACTGTCCTCTTTGATCGATCTTATCTCCATTGACTCAAAGTCTTAACAATTTGTTTTCTTGTTGTCTTTTTTTTTTTTTTTTTTGGTTTACAGCCACGTCAAGAAAGGAGGACTTTCAAAGTATTATAAAGGCAAATCTCAGTCATTCACATCTCTAGCAACTGTCACAAGCTTACAGGATCTTGTGAAGAGAGGATCAAGAACGAAGTCATGCTGCAAAAGGGATTATTTATATGGACCAAAGGCCACAATCTCCATGAAAGCCACAAGAACATCCTCAAGTCATTCCAATTCAAGATTAACTTTAAAACCATTTCATGATTCACCAAAATCAGTTCAATGACATGACAAAACAACCTTCTGGGTTCAATTTAACATTGTATTCATTTGTATACAAGTTTGCCCAAGCTAAATGAGAACAGAGATAATTTAGGGCTAAATAACACCTTTTCACTAATTGTGCAGAAAAATTGTCAAAACGAGTAAAAAAACACTTGTCTTTTAGGTCGTTCAATTGCGATGTGATGCATCAAATCTTGTAAACAGGAGTGATTCCAAGAAGGTGGAAGCATTTCCGCATAACTATGGCCGTTGCTTCACAAAGTAGGAGACGGCTTGTCTCCTCTGGTGAACCATTGACCTGCGAAAGTTCATGTTTTTAAGTGAGATCAAAATAATGGTGGTTGATTATGCAGCTATGCGGTTTAATATCAAGATTTTAAATAGAAATGTAGAATCTTGTGAATGCACACCTGACAATTGGAGTAGAATCTGGTGTAGTGTTCAGATAAATTGTAGAGGTACTCGCACAGCACGCTCGGTAACAAGTTGGTGCAAGCTTCCTCAACCGTCTGCAAATCGTTAACACATGAATTGTGCAATTGTTCATTTTGTTGCCGAGAAAAATGAAACCAAATATGAAACAAGTATCTAAAGAGAGCATGTGTTACCTCAGCAAATCGAAGCAAGTGAAGCCCCAGTGCTCGTTCATCTGCATGATCCAATGCTAGTTTTCCTGTCTGCAATGAATCAGATGTTGAAACATAAGAACTCCTATCATACTGCGTACGGTAGGAACTAATAACAGTCTCCGTAGATGTTCGACGATCCATTTATTATGAAAATGTGAAAGATAGTACAACCAAGAAAATAGAAAAGACAAAATAAGGCTCAGGGTGTATATAAATGAATCTTGAGACTCCCAGATTTAAATGCTCACTAAGACACTGGTATTAAGTTAAAAGTTAAAACACATCTGGAAATTGTTTAAGCTTTCAATTTCAAAAGAAATAGATTATAATGTCGCATTTCCTTGATAGAGACAATGGGAAGTTTCAGGTGCAGCCAAGAGGAACAAAGAATAAAATTAAGTGATTCATGTTCATGCAGCTAAAATACCTTTCTCAGCTCATCTATGTCTTTGCCAGACTTTCTGATGATTGAACAGATCCGAGCATGGGCGTAAAGAAGGTAAACGGCTGTATTTCCCTGCTCATGACATGTGATCAATAAGGTTGTGTAAGTGACTGCATAATGCAAATATGTAAACTAGGTGGCAAATTCCAGTACCTTGTCATTAAGCATTTGATCAAAGCTGAAAGTATAATTTGTTAATCTGTTGTTCTTCAGGTCAGCATACCTTGAAGAAAATTAAACAAAACCGCAAATTAGCTTGTAGAATGAATATAAGCCAACTGTCAAAGCATCTGGCAAATAATTCCATCATAATTGAGCGGCCTTAATTACAAACGTCACAGAAAACCAGAAGATACTGAATAGAATTCACTATCATCAGCAGTAGAATAGAGATGATACTAACTTTACCGCACCATATCCAACTGCCTCAGCTGTTTGGTCCAGTTCCTCCGGTGTCCATTCTTTGTCCTTGCCTAAACAGAGAAACAGCATATAAGGATTAATAGACCAAATAATAACTGAACAAGTGAATGGTTCAACAATTAGAGAGTGCTGAGACAAAGTTAGATACCGCGCTCAATAAGGGCAAGTTTACTGCGAGTCTTGGCCTCATCTAACAAATCAACTAGGCGGACTACATCTGTTGCACGAGTTCTAAATCGCTTGCCATCTTCCCCGAGGACGAGACCAAAACCAACATGGTTAACTCTAGGGTAAGTTTTATCATTGTCTGGAAGCCAACCTGCTTTTCTGGCAGCCTAATTCAGAGTAACATGATAGCTACAGTTACGACTGACAGTTTCAATCAAGACACAACATTTCACAAGACGTCAAAAACAATAAAATATACATCAAACCTACTTTGAAGAACATATTAAAGTGCTGCTGCTGGCCAACATCGGTCACATATATAATCCACTCAGCTTTCTCTTCATTGAGCCGGTACCTGGGCCAGACAGAATTCAGCACAAGCAGACAATCAATTGAACAAAATGCAAGTTCAGATCAAACTTCAGCAAATATAGAAACGGAGAGTCATTATATATGAGTTCTATTTTCAAAATATCGCTACTAAAATCCGAATTTCATGGAATAATTAACATAAAGATAACCCACCAAAGAGCAGTCAGATCTGTTGAGGCATAGTTAAAACCACCATCACTCTTTACAACCATGAGTGGGATGTCAAAGCCTTCAAGGAAAATCACACGAGCACCTTCACTTTCTTCAACCAATCCCTTGCTATTCAATTCCTCAATTACTTTAGCAATATAAGGGTTGTAAAAGCTTTCTCCCTGTCATGAATTGAATCAATGTATTTTTCTTTACCCATCCATGCATCTCTTTTCCATTATATCTCAAATAATGTAGTACAGGTCAGCTATTTCTTTACCTTTTCTTCAAGCTCAACTCGAAGGCGTTGGTAAACCTTGGCAAACTCAGTTCGGCTGATGTCACAGATCTTAGCCCAAGCCTTACGGTAAACAGGATCACCACCCTGCACAGTAGAAAGGAAAATATTGGACTAGTGAATAATTTAGATCTTGCAACCAAAGGCAGCTGCAAATTGAGACACTGCGAAACAGAATAACAGACCAGTGATTTTGGTAAAGAGAATTTTTATTTACCTGTAGACGGACCACAGCCTGTTGTGCTCTTTCCTTAAAGTCCTCATCCAGATCAAATTTATGTTTTGATGCCTTGTAAAACACCTATCAAACGACATCTAAGGTTAGTAGAAACTATATTGCTTTGGTTATTCACACAAGCATATTATGCCAATATTGCTACATAATAAAATTGTAAAGCTTGAGAGGTCATATGATGGAAGGCAGCTGACCTGAAGATCTCCAATTGCTGTCTCAGTCACACTATCTGTATCAGGAAATTTCTCAAAGAGGTACTCAATTAGCATGCCAAACTGCAGAATAAAAGCAGCTTTTATTTCTCTGACAAATATTTGGAATACAATAATTACAAAAAAAGAAAAAAAAAAAAAAGGTTAAAAAACCATTTGAAGAGCAGAAAAGTAGCTACCTGTGTTCCCCAGTCACCAACATGGTTTCTGCGTAGAACTTCAACATTTGAGTACTCGAGCATGCGAGCTAGCGTGTCACCAATGATAGTTGATCTAAGATGACCAACATGCATTTCTTTTGCAATGTTGGGAGAGGAAAAATCAACTACAGCTCTCTTAACGGAAAGAGTAGGTGCCCATGTGTCAACTCCATTGATGAGCATATTTTCAATACTCTGCGGATAGATAAGAAAACAGTTATGCTTAACATATACTATTATTTATATGAGCACTAGAAAATGACTATAGAAATACAACAGGAGTACCTTAGCCATCCACTTAGCTGATAGTACAACATTAATAAAGCCAGGTCCAGCTACAGAGCATGATTCCACCATCTCAGAAGTAGGGAGACTCTTAACAAGGGCCTATGTGAGAACAGAATAAGAGTTAAAGAACAAATACAAAATAGGATAAGAATCTGCTTCACGACATACAAGATACAAAAAGCCACGAAATTCAAAAGACAATCCATATAAACCAACCTGTCCAACAGCTGGAGGACCCTTGAACTGAGTACCCTTTCCTTTAATTATGGACCATAGTCCCATTGCATTGTTACTGCAGACAACAATATGATGAAAGAATCAAATTCAACAAACGGAAAAGAGTTTAATTGAAGTTCAATGAATTAAATAAAAGAAGGAGAACCATTGGTAATCTCCAAATTTTCCAAGAGCGGAGGCAGCCACCAAGGGCTCAACACTAGGTTCATCAGGAACCGTTAATTTTAGAGACACATCAAAGAGCTTAGCGAGTTGGCGTTTTAGATTTCCCGTAAACTCTTCATTCTGTCATTAGCACTCAAAAAATCAGTCATGTTATATTTCAAAACTTTCTCGTGGATATAAAAACAAAACTGCTGACTTACAGCTGCCATGGTTGCTACGGACTTAGCTTTGGTTGCGAAAGCAAATCTCCAAGCCGCTGCTCTCAATTTTTCTGACTAGGTTACAAAACCACATAGCGAAATCAGTACACGCAAATAGCAAACAAAGTATCATTTCAAGTGGAAAACAAAATCAGAATATGCTAGCAACAAAACAACTACAAGAAAAATGGACTTGCACTGCTAATAACAACAATCTAATCTCACAAATATTGCAATAGAAATGTTATTCAGTGACCTAAAAACTTAAGAAGCAAACGGAGAAATGTAGGCAGAGCACAGATAACAACAAGTAGATGGAACGAGAGATAAGAGCTCGGAGAGAGGATTTTACCAGTCGGAGAAGAAGAGAAATAAGCAAAGTGATGATGGGACCGAGAAAAACGATTCAAGGAGAAGAGAGAAGACGGCGGTGTTGCTGTGACCGGAAAAAGGGTTTGGCTTAATATTGCCATTGCCAATTTTCTATCTCTCGGCCTTTTTTTTTTTTTTTTTTTTTACTTAAAAAAAAATTTGTAAGGAAAAATTTGGTGCTGGGCCGAAAATTAATAGAAGGCCCAAGATAGTGTCTGCGATCGACAAATCGTTGAACATTTGGCGAAAGTTCAACAAACCAACGAGAAATTTACTTACAGTCGTCGACCCGACTGGTCTAAACCAATAAAAGCACGATTTACGGCAAATTGGCTATTGATGGCGGTTGTGAGTGTAGCTATAACCGACCAATAAATGCTTGCGATCTGGTCAGCAATTTGATTTAGATTAAACTTATTCAACCCGCTTAATCTCTGAATAACCGGACCGATCCTCGATTCAAACTCAAAATATTTATTTTAGTAAAACCAGATTCGTGCTAACACTATATATCACCTATCTTAGGTTCGTTCCAAGCGTTCTACAACGCAAAAAGGTTTTCTAAGAACCTTTTATGAATCTGTAATCTGGAAGGAAAACTTCACGTATAATTTGTAACACATTAAGCAACGCAAGTCTCAGAAGCTCCGAGATTATGACAACTGGAATAATAATAAACACTAAACCCCTAATCTTTCTATCAAATGCTTCTCAACTTCACCTCCACAAGAGAAGCATTCAACGACTACTCAAAAGAGTTTCATTTGTTGTCCCTGTAAGAATGCAAGAAGAAAACTAATGTGAGCAAACAACAAACTGTGTAATAAATTAAAGCCATGACTTAATTAATACCTCTTAACAAAAGAGTCATCCTCAGTGTTTATCACAATCTTTTCACCTGCCTCGAGATAAGATGGTACCTGAGGTATTCAAGGTGGAACCAAGAGTTGTTATTTTGGTAGTTAGATGAACCAGACTAGTTCCTGATCGCATGTAGTTTGGAGATCAAAGTTGCAACTTCCCAGAATGAGTACTTACCTGAATAGTGGAACCATTATCCAGGAGCGCTCTCTTGTACCTACAATTTAATAAGGCGTTTTCTCATATAACTTATAAAAAAGATTGATTCATGGTGTTGAGTAAACAATGGTACATGTGCAAATCAGTAATATGTTACACGCATATACTGTATAGATAAATAGCGTTACTGATGTTTTTAAAACACATACCGAGGAGCTGATGTTAGGCCTTTCATGGGATCTTGTGTTTCTACAACTGTGCATGTAATATGCTTAGGGATAGATGCAGATAAAGCTCTTCCATCATACAGCTGCAACTGAACTTTCATTTCCTCTGTCAATCACGAGTAAATAGCAAATATGTTAAGTATTTCTAGCACATGCCAGCTAGGATTCAGCAAAACAAACCAAATTGGAAAAGAAAATCCTCAAAAAATGACTGCATTGCTCTCAGATTTTCTATATTGGTGTGTAGACAACCATCAACAAAGGATTCAAAGCATGACATGCACTACGAATGAAATCATACCAACCTTTTAAATATACTGCAGCTTTGCCAAATATGTCCAGTGGCACTTCAACTTGTTCAAACGTATTAGGCCTGTTGGATATACATAATTAAAGAAATAATGTTTAGCAAACTCAAGGTCCTACCGAATGTTTAAGATGATATAAAACAGGTAAGGAGATTACACAAAAAATGGACTCACTCAATCAGAAATGCAGTATCTCCCTCTGTATACAAACACGTGAAAGATTTCTCCTCAACAAAAACTTCTGCAGGAAATTGATGCAAGCAATCAATACCACATCAAAATAATCGACCTATCCTACAATGCTAATAGCAAAATGGTTAGAAAACCCAAAAATAACAAATTTTAGTAGGTAAGAGATTAATTAACACTAAGCTATGAATGCTATGGAATAAGCAACATACTCTCAACCGACTCCTCAGATCCAAACCGTAAGTTAAGCTTATTCCCAGTGTCAACATCACGAAGCTCAACCTGTTTCCCCAAAAGAAGAGAGATGCAAATGTTGAGGCTAAGAGACAGAATATCAACAAAAAAAATACGTTATAAACGATCAAAACATTAAACTGTTGATCGCATAAAACAAGTCAAGAAGCAGAGGCTAAGATAAAGGGAGACCCGTATTTAACAATATGGTTCTCAGCATGAATCAAATTCTAACTCACTTGAATAATCACTAAATCAGGATTCCTAAGTTGGTAGTTGGTACTCTCACATAGAATATGAAAATTCCGACATTTCGAGTAGAGATTAATACCTGTATGGAAGCTCCTCCTCTACCTTGTTGCTTATGCTCTGCTTCTACAACCTACAACATAAAAAAAAAAAAAAAAAAAAAAGATAATTGGTGTTTCTCAATCCGTAGAACTAAAAAACTCAAGATATAAAACAAAATGTCCAAATGACTAACCCGAAAAGTACGTCCTGAAGGTGCAACGATCCATCAAAATTGAGTGAAATCATATACTAATCCAAAAACGTTGACATGTATAATCAAAAGGAGTAAACTTCAAAAACCAAACCTGTTCGTTCAATCACATTCCCTGCCCTTAGCTGAAAAAATTAAAAACCCAATAAATCAGAGGACACAGCTAATCTTTACTCGTGTGAGCTCAAAACAGTTCAAGAGCCCGCAATAATAATTATTCGCTAATCAAATGAGCAATAAACTTTTTATCTCCGCAGTTAAACTTTACCTGAATCGCGTTAACTTTAACACCGCGGCGTTGCACAGCAGACCACGGGGACTGAAGCGAAGGTGTTTCTCGGTAGCATCCACCGGCGGCGTTAGGGGTTGATGACAACAACCGGCTCAAAGAATACAGTGATCTCCTAGTCGTTAGTGCTCCGGGAGAAGTGGTATTAGAGAAGGTGAAGAGAGATCGAACTATTGAGATTCTCTTCAAATGGTGCAGCCCTCTCATCTCCGTTTAACCCTTGCAATCGGGAACTGATCGAGAAAACAATTAAAAAAAACAAGACGGTGTCGTTTAAAATGCTGTCGCAAGGACGCCGTTAAGACAGAACTTATGGTTTACTTCGTCGTTTTGATGCTGATGATATAAATCGCATACACGCCGTTAAGAGAGAAATAATGGCAACGGCGTTGTTTCATGAGCGACAAGACGGACGAGGCCTTCTCAATGTAATGGGCCTTAAAAGTAGCCCATTTCACTCATAAGCTTTTTTATTGTAAGCCCATAATTATTATGAACAAAAGAAAAATCAATACCTTGAAGTTAAAATTATATTCATACTACTTTTCTTAGAAGATGTCATCATTATAAAGCTTACAAGTTGTTTGCTTGTTGTCCCCTCCCACTATAATGCTTTCAGATTAAGATTTCAACTAGTTTAATCTCTTATTTAATCACCAAGCTACTGAATTAATATGACTACCACTAACAACAACTTATGATTGTCAAACTAATTTCTTTTCCTTTTTTTATGATTTTGTCAAAGCTAAGGTGAATTAAAAAAAGTGATAGAGATATTTTTATTGATATTCAAATGTGGAAAATCTTAGAACAGTACATAAGAAAGAAAAACAAAAAAAAAATCAAGAATATGGTTTTTATCACATCAAAAAGACAAAAACAAATTTGTCTAGAAGAGAAACCCAAAGGCCAAAGTGGCTACAGAGGCGAAGAAAGCCGGGATGGACAAAGAAGCGTCGGAGGTAGGACTCGGAGCGGGAGCCTCCACCGCGGCAACCTGTTGCACAGTAGAAAAAGCCATCGCCGCCACCAAAACCGCCACAAAGAGTCTCATCTTCATTGCCTCCATTGATTTATCTCTAAGTGGTTCTTGAGAAAGCACAAAGAGATTATATGTTTAGTATTTTGTGGTGTGTTCTGATGTGTTGTGACTGTGAGTTATATATACACATGGATGCATGTAAGGCCAACTGTGTAACTAGCACTTTACAGTTTGATTAACACCAACACTTAATCATTTTCGAATTGTTCCAATTCTTTGTAGTTGGTAAATAAAAGTACTATACTATCACATTAATCTCTGTAAAGCCAACTGAGATCTTAGTTGAAAAATAAAGAAAAATAAACAGTTGGAAAGAATAGTGCAGCCGATTTAAGTTGTGATATTGTATTTTGTTTTTCTTGGAGAAATGGATATAATATGTTGGTTCAAAGATTACAGTTCAAAAGGTAGTATTTTTCAAATAATACAATTCATTCTAGGAACGTTTTCTTTAATAAAAACTAAAAAGAGTGAAAGAAATAGTAAACTGTTTGGTTTTTTCTGTGACGGTCGAGAAATGAATAGAAAATAGATAAGAGAAGCAATGAGCTGTTTGGTTGGTTGTTTCTTTGTAGGTAAAGAATATGGAATTTGATTGATGTTTCCATGTGCGCTCAGTTATATAATTGACTCAATCCATTTATCCCCCAAGGCCCCAATTATTGCTCAATATTCGATGAAACAAGAACTTATAAGTGTGAGTTTTCATTTTGTTAGTCAACATATGAATTAGGTATTGAGCAAGACTCTTCAAATATTTGAGCAAGAAAAAGAGAAATGGAAAACCATGAAATTCTCCCATTCACACTAACAATAAACAATTAAGCTTCTTTCTTGGAAGCCAAGAAACCAAAAACTCACCAAACTAGAGACCCAAGAAAATTAGCTTAAACAACATCGTCCTTGATCTTCGATTTTATTATATGTGGAAAGAAAGCTGGGAGATTTGATAAATGTTTAATTGACTATTCTCCCGTAGAACCTCAAGTTTCTGAGAGTACATAAATTTTAACACCAAAACCGAGTTAGCTACTTTCAGTACCACCTAAACTTGATGATTAACCCAAAACTCTCTTAGTCTTTACTCAATTTTCCCCCAGAAGGTATGAACAAACGCAAAACAAATCAAAGACAACACCATTTGTCTTAAACATTTCTAGGTAAAACCTATTCAACGATGTTTCAAATGCAAATGAAACAAAAAAAATGATGCTCTATTCATCAAGGACTAGACTATAAAAAAAAAAATCTAGACATATTCACATGCATACAAACTGTAATCAAGAAACAAGATTCGATTTTCGCCAAATTGCAAGAACTACCGGAAAAAAAAAAACAGAGTGATTACAAAAGGAAAAAAAAAAAAAAAAAAAAACTTATACAAAGAAGAGAACAGGATAGAGTTTGATTTTGATCACTCAAAATGCAGATGAAAGTGATGCTGATATGTAGCAATGGAAGATGAAGAGGAACCATAAACAAAAGCGTGATCACGATCGTCTTCGTCGGTTTCAGGATAGAGCAAACCTGGAGAAGGAAGACATAGAAAAGTCAAGAGACATAAAGCGAATCGACCCAATTGATGAAGCGGGAAGAAGCAGACTAGCTCAAGCATCTCGCGGCTGCTTATACGATCGGACGGTGGGATCCGTCGTAATCGCTGCCAAATCTCCGCCGACAAATGAGCTACGGACATAACCGTATGGCCGTTGAACACCATGTTTGTACACTGTTTTTATTCACACAAAACTGTAACTGGATGATGATTCCGTGATTTTCGTCGGATTTGTCTGTGTTTGTGTATACAAATGCACAAAGGTCGGGGTTTTTTCTAGATCTTGCCACGTTGACTTCCATGTTTAATCAACATCATCATTGATCGAATAGTGCCTAGCTAATCCATTTTTTTAGTATTTTATTGATTAAACAACTAAAAAATAAAAAATGAAGCCTTTGTTGTGTTAGTGGTTGAACAAAAATTTAGGCATTCTACACCATATTTGGTTTCGATTCTTCAACAATAAGAATTATTGCAAATTATTATAAGTAAACCTACCAGAGATCTCTCAATATTAGTTCCTGTATTTTTGGGTTTTGTTCTGTAGTGAATTGATGAAATATTAATTCTTTGGAAGAAAGTTTTGTAGGAATGTTTAACTTCTAGTAGAAGTAAGAATGATGGGACTCGCAAGCTACCGTCTCTATAGATTTCACCTTACTCCATTGAGCTACACTCTCTATAGGTTTCACCTCAGTCGCAAGTTACTACTCTTTGTTCTAATTACAACACTACAAAGGAACGTACATTTAGCTCTAATTGATCCCTAAAAATTTGTTATAGCTTTAATGATAAAAGGTAAGCTATACTATTTAACAAAAATGGAAACATCTTTCAATACATGCCTATACTGTTAGTGTAATTAAACAATCTAGGCATCTATCTAGTAACACGTATAGATCTTAAAGTGAGAATGATGTGGCTCGTGAGCCTATGTCTTGTTGAGTTTGTCACAATGATTGACTATGCAATACATTATTATTAATATAATTAAGCTTGAGTTTGAATTAGTTAGTTATAAGAATCCGAGTGATTTGTAGCAGCAATATGTCAAGCTAGATCTTTCTCAAGCAGTATAACATCAATGGAAAGATTTCTTGGTCGCAACTTTCTTGCTCTTACATTAATACTTCACTCAATTCAAGCAACAACATCAATCTCTCATGTAAATCACTAAAAACCTAAACCTGTGCATGAATATCTATTCATTTGCAGACTATATTCTTGATTATCTTTGGCATGTTTTCCAGGTTTACGTTGTATATTTAGGCGCTAACCGGCTAAAAAACGCTGCTTTAGCTTCAAACCACCACCTTCATCTTCTTTCCAAAGTCTTCACAAGGTTACCTTCTTCAAAACTCATCTCTTTTTTTTTTTTTTTTGAACCAAAACTCATCTCTTTAACAGTCCTTTTCTCTTCTCGGTCAATAATCTCGTCCGCAAATATTTGGAGATGTTGTTGTAGCAAAGAAGATGGGAAACAATCGATGTTGTACAGTTACAACAATGGCTTCTCAGGCTTCTCTGCAAAACTCAACGCATCACAAGCTACTTCTTTAGCAAGTAATACTTCCATCTTTACATTATGGCGGCAAAATTATTCTCATCTTTAAAGAAATCGGTTTGGTTTTGGTTATCCTTGACTAACGATCGTTTTTGCGGAACCAGTTCCATTTCGTTCAGTTACACTAGGACCGGTTACAAAATCGATATTAATAAGAAAATTAGAACGGAGACCGGTTTTGTTAACCGGGAAATTGTTATAGAATTGGACCAGGTCATAACGGTTTTCAAGAGCAAAAGCTTGAAGTTGCACACAACAAGGAGCTGGGATTTCTTAGGTCTCGCCGTTGACTATCCCCGTCGTACTCCTCCGCCGCAGCTCGCCTATGGATCCGACATTGTCGTCGGAATATTCGATACTGGTCTTTTGTTTTTCCCCAACTCTTCTTTGTTTCAGGGCTCTCGATGTTAGCATTTCCTTGAATACTTTTGTTACTTTCAATTTAGGGATTTGGCCGGAATCGGAGAGTTTCAGGGAACCGCCGGAGGCAAAATCCATACCTTCGTCGTGGAAAGGAAATTGCGTCGGAGGAGAAGAGTTCAATCCTTCCGTACATTGCAATCGAAAATTGATCGGTGCTCGATTTTACCTCAGAGGATTCGAAGAGACATATGGACCGATTGACTTTACGCGAGATCCTGAATACCGATCGCCGCGAGATTACCTCGGTCACGGCACACACACAGCTTCAACCGCCGTTGGATCCGTTGTTCGCAACGTCTCCGGCTTCTCCGGTTTGGGACGCGGCACTGCTCGTGGCGGAGCTCCGTCGGCGAGGCTAGCAGTGTTCAAGACGTGTTGGGGGAAGGATCTGGAAGGTGTTTGCACGGAGGCTGATATCTTGGCAGCTTTCGACGACGCGATCCACAACGGTGTCAACGTGATTTCGGCCTCTTTTGGCTATTCGCCGCCGTTATCTCCGTTTTTCGAGTCGAGCGCAGACATTGGGGCTTTTCACGCGGCGGAGAGAGGAATCAGCGTGGTTTTCTCTGGCGGAAACGATGGCCCTGATCCCGGTGTTGTTCAGAATGTCGCTCCTTGGGCAGTTTCCGTCGCAGCTTCGACAGTTGATCGGAGTTTTCCCACTAGAATTGTTATCGACGGCAGTTTCACTCTCACGGTACTCACCTTAAATCCTGAAGTCAAAGTCAAATTACTGAAAGATTGATTCTTGTTAGTCACAGAATTTAAAAGAACAAAACTTTGAATTAATCAATCTTTCAGGGTCAGAGCTTGATTTCTCAGGAGATCACTGGTACATTAGCTCTTGCAACAACGTATTTCAATGGAGGGTATTTGCTCAAAATTCTTTAAAATTTGTATTCAAAATTCAATTCATGTCACTTTCTATACAGTTTTAGAAGATACTTGCAAATTCGTAGCTTATTAGCAGCATTGGTGTATGACTATAAGGACTGATATGTGCAGGGTTTGCAAATGGGAAAACTGGTTGAAGAAATTGGCCAATGGGACAATAATTCTGTGCTTCTCTACTTTGGGTCCGGTTCAGTTCATTGAAGAGGCACAAGCTGCTGCCATAAGAGCGAACGCATTAGCGCTAATATTTGCAGCCTCACCAACCAGACAGCTCGCTGAAGAAGTAGACATGATCCCAACAGTTCGTGTGGATATTCTTCACGGGACAATGATCAGGAACTATCTTGCTCGTTTGCCTACGTAAGCGACACTACTCGGTTATGCATTTTGTTTCCATGCGCCAAGCTGATATATGATTATAGAAAATAAACTCATTAGATTCCTTTGGTGAAAAATGAAGAGTGCCAATTTTGAAAATTGGACCGAGCAAAACGGTTATTGGAGAGACTACAGCACCCTCCGTTGCATATTTCTCTTCAAGAGGACCTAGCTCACTATCACCTGATATTCTCAAGGTACAATCATCTAATATTTTGGTTCACTTAGTTTGTTGCATTAAGTTGTATGTTTGAGAATGCAATTGTGTTGAAGTATTTGAGATATAGTACGTTTAAACAAGAACCAGATTTGACACTTTAGTGAATATTGGTTTTTGGTGTGTGCAGCCAGATATTACAGCGCCCGGTATTGGGATATTAGCAGCATGGCCTCATAAAACTCCACCTACACTGTTACCAGGAGACCACCGATCTATTGAGTGGAATTTCCAGTCGGGAACGTCAATGTCATGTCCTCATGTGGCTGGAATTATGGCTCTTCTCCAGTCAGCTCATCCTGACTGGTCACCTTCTGCAATCAGAAGCGCTATCATGACCACAGGTTCTACTTCTAATAGGCCCTCTCACATGTTGTTCTTACAAACATATATCTGATATTGATCTTTCTTCATTCCGTTTCCAGCGTATACAAGAGACACAACCTATGACTTGATCCTCTCTGGTGGGTCGATGAAGTCCACTGACCCGTTTGATATTGGTGCCGGGCATATAAACCCTTTAAAAGCCATGGACCCTGGTCTGGTTTACACTACCAGAACCGAAGAGTATGTGCTCTTCATGTGCAACATTGGCTACACGGACCAACAAATTAAGTCCATGGTTCTCCACCCAGAGCCTTCCACAACATGTCTTCCGTCTCACTTGTATCGAACAAATGCAGATTTCAACTATCCGTCTATTACCATACCGAGCTTGAGATTCACCAGGACAATAAAACGCACTTTAAGCAACGTTGGTCCAAACAAAAACACAGTTTATTTCGTGGACATCATTAGACCCATGGGAGTGGAAGTTGTGATCTGGCCGCGGATTCTGGTGTTCTCGAAGTGCCAACAAGAACACTCATATTATGTTACATTCAAGCCCACTGAGATTTACTCTGGTCGGTATGTATTTGGGGAGATCATGTGGACAGATGGGTTACATCGAGTTAGAAGTCCGTTGGTTGTGTTCTTGAGCAACGCTAGGCCTTCTGCAAGCAGTTGAGAAAGACATGTAATGTTGGGCTCACGTTGAAAGATGGATGTGTTGTCATCGTTTTATCAGAAGATATACTCTGGTTCAAACCAAAGTTCCCCGGGAACAATAAGTGAAGAAAAATGTAAAAATAGACGCAATGAAAAAGAAAATTTGTACTGTGATTAAGCATTTGTAATTCACAGACGCAATTTACGATCATTGTGATGATCTTTGTTTGGTTTGTTTTTTTGGATTTCGTTTGAAGTTCGGTTTTGGTTTTTACTGAAACCGTCTACTATGAAATTGTAGGTCGGTTTACATCCGGTTTACGATTGAGATTGATTATTACCTAGGAAGCACGGAATCTTCGTCGGAGGTCCGCTTCCCGCTTCGGAATCTTAGTCGGAATCGGAAGCTCTTGGAAGCTTTCGGAATCTCGCTTCCATCGCGTTTCCAAAAATTCAACTTTGGAAGCTCGTTGGAAGCTTACGATTCCGGTTTGGAAGCTTGCGCTTCCATTTTATAAATTCAATTTTACAAATAAAACATGAAATTATTATTTTTAATCAAACAAACTCAAACTAAAAATTTTGCATACTAATCTTTGTATTTTATTTTTAACAAAATCATGTTTAGAAAATAGCAATGACATGAATCTAATATGTGAGAGATATTATAAATGATTAATTAATTTAGATTAATTTCGAGAGACTTGAGTTTGATCATATTTTTACCTATAATATACATAATTTGAAACGATTTTGTTTGATGTTATTTAAAAAAAGAATGAATATAGTGTTATAATTTTTTTCTTGAATTATTTGATTTTGTTTGTTGTAAAAATTGGTTTAATTTTTAAATTTAGTTTTTAAAATTTATTTATTAGATTTATGGGGTTAATATAACTTGTAATATCATATAATGTTTAATATATAGTTATATATATATATATACATATATATATATTCTTTATATATATTATACGCTTCTATCGCGTACCGCTTCCGTAAAATTTTCTAAAAAATCGCTTCAGCGCTTCTAAACGATTCCGTTTCCGCGTATCCGCTCCCGTTTCCATGCAACATAGATTATTACTTGGTACGATTGATGAACCCATTTCATTTTCACAGTCTAAATTGAAAGTTGAGACCTTTCGCTGTTCGCTGCTTCATTCACTGTCTGTGGCAACGTTTATTATCGTCTTGGTTTTGGTATTTGTGGCTATATAATCTAGGGTTGTTTTAGCTCCTATGTTATCCTCTCCTGAGAAAATAAACAAACCTTGGATTTAGGGTTTTCTCTGTAAAACTGCGTTTGCGACTAGAGAAATAGGGTAAAATCAACGAGGCCTAGGCCATTGGTCAGCTCCTGAATCATCTCTCTCCTTACTCTTCTGGTCTCCTCCAGGAAGTTTACCAAGGAACTACAAGTTTACCTCCAAACAGTCAACTGTAAGTTTTTGTGACCACTAATTTGTTGTTTTATTGTAACTTTTCTCCACTCGGATTTATGAAACTCTTTAGCCTCTTTAATCTGTAAGCTCCAATCGTAGACTTTTCCTTTGGCCACTAGCTGAAACTTTGAGAATTCAGGGATAGTGTTTCCATATGGACCGTATCAGTCAACTTTCGGATGATTTGCTCTTGCGGATTTTGTCTTGTGTTCCTACAAAAGATGTTGTGGCTACAAGTCTTTTGTCCAAAAGATGGCAGTTTCTTTGGATGTTAGTGCCACAACTTCAATACAATGATATCAATCACAGTGGTGACTATAAGAACTTCTCTCAGTTTGTTTACAGATCTTTGCTTTCAAATAAGGCATCTGTTATAGAACATCTGCATCTGAATCTTGGCCCTGAGTGTCCCGCTATAGATATTGGACTATGGATTGGTATTGCTCTTAGTCGCCGTCTGCGTGAACTGGAAATTAATATTCGTTCTTCTTTCGAGAATGTGTCTTTCAGTTTGCCGAGTAGCCTATATACCTCTGATACACTAGAGACCTTGAGAGTGATCAATTTCGTTCTATTGGTTGTTCCTTCTTCAGTTTGTCTCCCGTCTCTCAAAGTTCTGCACCTTAAGACTGTTGATTACGAGGACGACGCATCTCTTCCAAATCTTTTATCAGGCTGTCCAAATCTTGAAGAATTATGTCTGGAGCGACATGATCAAGACTCAGAAATGGATTTCACTGTCGTGGTGCCTTCCTTACGACGGTTATCTATGATGGACGAAAATTATGTAAAATGTGGTCGATATGTGATAGATGTCCCTTCTTTGAAGTACCTGAACATTACAGATGAAGCAGTTTACAACGTCCGTCAAATTGAGAACATGCCTGAGTTGACTGAGGCATATGTTGAGATTACTCAAGGAGTTACTCACAAGTTTCTGAGGGCTCTTACTACTGTCCGACATCTTTCTCTATGTTTATCACTTTCAGAGGTAATATTGAATATAATCTTGTTTTTTTTTTCATATTATTATTCCTCTCAAGAATTACTTTGTGTTGTTGTGCATATTGAAAAACAGGTTATGTGTCCTTCTGGAATGATCTTCTATCAGCTTGTTCATCTGAACTTGTATACATTTGCTCAAGGTTGGTGGGATCTTCTTACCTATATGCTCCAAGATTCCCCCAAACTAAGATTTCTCAAGCTCATTGATGTACGTGGTCTCCATAATATGCCTTTATCTGGTTTAGTTTCCCAATACTATTGACTGATAACTCTGTCTGATGTTGGTCTTAGAAACATGATTCTGGTCTTTGTGGGAAAGAAACCCCAATTGGTTGGAAGCTGCCGAGTTCTGTCCCCGAGTGTTTGTTGTTTAGTCTTGAGGCATTTGAGTGGATTGGGTACAAAGGGAGACGAGGAGATAGAGAGATGGCAACCTATGTCCTAAAGAATGCTGCTTGTTTGAGCACAGCAAAGTTCTCTCCAGAATCTACTGATGTGGGAGAGAAGTATCATATGCTCAAGGAGTTGGCATCAGTACCTACAGCTTCAACTTCGTCTAAGCTTCTATTCGACTGAGAATAGTTATATTTAGTTTTCTTGGTATCTCGTTTATGATTTGTGTTTAGTTTTTGTCAAGACTGGTTTAACAAAAAAAAAAAAAGTCATGATGAACCATGTCAAACCCAGTTTGCTTCTCTCATGTAACTCAAAAAGTGTGGCGTCGAATGGTTGTGGTATCTCAAACGAAGCATGATCATCTCTGTTTTTACATTACATTACACAGCTTTACCTTCTTCTCATCTATGTTTGACCCAGAATATTAACGTTCTCAAAAGATTGGTGACTTCAAAATTAGCACAATCTGAATGTAGATTAGGGTTTTACTTTTCACTGAAACAGGGTAAATGGCGAAAGAAAGAGAGGTTTTCGACCGACTAACCATTAGTTCGCGATTTTGCGCTCCTGGTTTATTTTCTTCTAGGGTTTAATATTCCTCTCGTCTATTTTTTAGTCCTTAATTAGTCGCCGACAAAAAAAAAAAACAAACCTAGAAAGCTTAACAAACAAGGAACTACCCATATCTCCAAACAATCAGTGTAATTTTCTGTGATTCTCTGTTTTCTTTTGTTGTGTCTTTGATTCGGATCATATATATATAACCTCTGGTATTTCATCTTTTGGTTTTGTAGTGAATTGACATGGACATCATCAGTCAATGTCCGGATCACTTGCTCTTGCGAATACTGTCATCTATTCCAACAAAAGATGTCATTGTCACGAGTCTTTTATCCAAAAGATGGGTATCTCTTTGGAGATGGGTGCCAAAACTTGAATATGATTTTACAAGTCAAAACATAAAGTTTGTTTACAGGTCTTTGCTACAAAATAAAGCTCCAGTTCTCGAGAGCTTGCATCTCAAGAATCTTAGCCTTAATCCTGAATGTCGTGCCGTAGATATTGGAGGATGGATTGATATTGCAGTTAGTCGGCGTGTTCGTGAGCTGGAAATTTCTATTAATTATTCTGATGAAAGATTCAGATTGCCTAGTAGCCTATATACATGTGAAACGCTTGAAAGCTTCACACTCACCATTAAACATTGCGTTCTTGTGGTTGCTCCTTTTGCGGGTTGTCTCCCTTCCCTCAAGAAACTACACCTTAGGTGTATTGGTAAGGCAGACAACGCATCTCTTCTTAGGCTTATATCCGGTTGCACTAATCTTGAAGAGTTGTGTTTAGCACGACCTGATGATGATGGCGACTATATTATGATACATAAGGCAGGCCATACTATAGATTACACTGTTGATGTGCCTTCCTTTAGAAGAAGGAAAATATTTGAGAGTATGTTTGATCACATGTTTGGAAAGGGTAGTAGTAATGTGATCAATGCTCCTTTGCAACACTTTTCTATTTCTAATGGTTATTATATTTACAACATCCGTGGGATTGAAAAAATGCCTGATTTGGACGTGTTACGTGTTGCGTTTACTAATGGAACATACACGTTTCTGAAAGAGCATACTCATTTCGGAAGCCTTTATCTATGTTTATCACTTTCAGAGGTAACAACAAACCTTGTGATTTGCATATATATATATATATATATATATATATATATATATATTTTTTGTATTGTTCCTCGCAATATTTTGACTTATGTTGTTGTACATAAAACAGGTTACGAATCCTTCTGGAGTGATCTTCCGTAACCTTGTTGACCTTAAGATATGTACATGTACTCATGGTTGGTGGGATCTTCTTACTCAGATGCTCCAAGATTCCCCAAAACTACGTTTTCTCACACTCACCAATGTATGTAGTCTTTTTCTTTATTGTAAGTATGCTTTTGATCGTGATGATAACTAAGTTGTTCTTACATGGTATTTTTAGGAACATTGCTATGGACTTCCTAGTTTAGAGACACCGCCCTGCTGGAAGCGGCCGAGTGCTGTTCCCGCGTGTTTATTGTCCAGTCTTCAAGGTTTCAAGTGGAGTGGGTATAATGGGAGACAACGAGATAAAGAAGTTGCAACATATATCCTGAGGAATGCTACTGGTTTGAAGAAAATGATTTTCTCTTCACAAACATTTGATTTTAGAGAGAAGTTTCGGATGCTCCAGGAGTTAGCATCTGTACCTAAGCCTTCGCTATCATGTCGGCTTCTGTTCGACCGAACAAATTAGTCTGAAGATATATCAGAGATCTTGTTGATTCTTAGATGTTTGCTTTCTTGCTCTCCATATTTGAACCCCAAAAACAGGAGTGATGAAAAGGATAGATTTTAAAGAAAGATTATAATGGCTCTGTTTACTTGTGGTTTGGTTCAATTTGTGTGTTTTTTAACCTATAACATTTATAGTTCGGTTTACTAATTCACATTTGTATTTGAGAATCGATTATGAGATGGAAACCTGATCAGTGGATAATGTTTTCAGATGGACATCATCAGTCAACTTCCCGATGATGATTTGCTCTTCCGAATATCATTTGTCCCGAACAGGAGTAGTTGTTGTGGCCACAAGTCTTTCTCCAAAACATGGAGAGTACAAGTCTAGAAGAGACCTTGATTTTCTTACTCATATTCTCCAAGATTTCACATAAACTACAATTTCTCAAATTTTATCTTTCTATACTCATTAAAGATTTTTCCCAATGATTGATGCTAAATTTTATGATTTTCTTAATTGGTCGTTCAAAACCCTCGGATTGCTGTAAGTGGCCAAATTTTTCTGTTTCTGAGTTTTTGAAACTTTTGATGATTGGATTCCACAACATATGTTTTAGAGAATGATATTACTGTTAATTTTCATGTTTTATTTCGGTTTGGCTCGACGTACTGAAACAGAGTTTATTTACTATTGTTTGAAATCTTTAGGTTCATTTAGATTAATTTCGGTTGAGTTAATAAATCCTGTAACGAGACAAGTTTATAGATGAAATAAAGTAGAAAACAAAGGCCTCAGAGATCTTGGTGGTTAACCAATCATCAATTGAAAGAAGAGCGTTCTCCATCAAGAGTAGCAAATATTTTGATTACATCACTGGCCTCACGAAAAATCAAAAGTTGAAAAAAAAAATAACATTGGAAAATTTTGTATCAATGATGGTAAAATCAGAAGTAGCTGGTTTGTGATCACATCTTTCCCCAAGGAATTCAAAGGGAATCCGAACGATTTTTTTCGTCATCTTTCACCATCAAAAGATTATCAACCAAAAAACTTCATAAAAGACATCAAAAATCGTTTTCCAAATCGGCGAAGAACAAAAAAAAACAAGAAGGATTGCGATGATAATGATGATGAGTCAGAAGTAGCTGGTTATATAATCACATGTTTCCCGGAGGAATTCAAAGGGAATCCGAATGATTTTTTTCGTCATCCTCACATCATTATCAATACTCACGAAACATTCAAAATCTACGACTAAGAAGAAAACTAGAGTTGAGCTCTGCTAATGAGGTAACCAAAATCGAATTTCAGAGAAAAAATAAGAACGCTAATCTAAAGAGGAGAGGAGATACGAATAGGCCGTGTAGTGTTTGTTATAACGAAGAGAGAAAAAGTTATATATATACGGCGCCACGAAGAGGTTTGACTACGAGAAGAAGCCCTAATCTCTATACGCTGCCGTATCAGCACTAGCTCGCTCTCATGGTTTTTTTTTTTATCTTTCTGTATGGGCCGGGCTATTTACTTTATTCTACTCTTCTTTCTGATTAGTACTGTGAGGAGCTGGGCAAAACCACTCTAATCCTGAAATTGGAACCATAAGTTAAAAACATCTATACGAAAAACCTGATTATACAGCTTTTTTTGTTCTCAAATATGGGACACAAGTGGAGGAGGATACAAAGACAGAAACATGAAAACCACTACATAAATTATACTACTATCTTAGGGGCAATATATTAATACAGACATGACTATGTTGTGTTCTTATCAATAATCATGTTGACCTGCAATAGATAGATTCAGTCTCAGGTATCAAAAGCTTGGACCTGAAGCGGCCTGTGAAGACAGAGAGCGACTCCGTCCATGTATAAGATCGTCGGATCAACACTTTGCCTACTAGCGACTTCCGACGACCAAATTCCTGAGGTTTGCCTGCCTCCTAACGAAGATGCAGGTTTTGTTCTAATTTAAACTGACACTTCTTGCTTCAATTCTAAAGCTTGAGGTGTTGATGTCGCTGCTCTATCCTTGACAAATGTCCTTAGGCATCCGTTGATTATGCGTGGCGCTGATCCATCGCAGAACCGTTTTGCAAGATCAACAGCCTTTTCACATCATTTTTGTAACATTGTTAGTTCACAACAAGAGCAAGGTTATCACATTGCAACGCTAACTTTAGATGTATGTATAATGTATGTATGTTACCTCGTTGATGACTATTGGGTGTCGAGTTTCAAGTACTGCCACTTCAGACATTGCTAAGTGAAGAATTGAAAACTCTAGTATTCTTCCAGCTGGTGCACTCTGCAAATAGGTGCCAAAACATCCTTAAGTTATTTAGAGATGAAAAGATATGTAAACAATAACACAGCCAAAATAAGAAACTGCTTCTAGATGGTCAAGCTAATTCAAAAGGAACTGTTGAGCTCAGAATGCCGACAGCTAATATTTATGTGAGCTATCACAATAAAGAGAAAACGGAAGAAAATAGTAAGCAACGAAGCTTTGAGTTTGGTGGTTCCTTAATTTTCAACAATCTAGTACTTGACCGGAGTTGAACTTTAAGCGTATCAACTTATACCTTCCAATCCGGCGGGGAAATTTTCTCGATGATGACGACATGGCTATCCCATTTATCAACTACTGCAGCCAAGAGTTTCTTTGCAAACCTTCGTAAAAACACAAAGTGGGAATAAGGTATACACAATTTATTTCAGAGTAAGCAGCAATTACTATCCACTGATACATTTTATAGATTACCGTAAAACAAGTTTGCTATACACCAGCTTTGGGGGAGCTGAAAGCACTTCGGCTTCTGCAGAAAAGGGAGGATAAACAACAATTCATTTGTTACAAGATGGGAAATTTCCATGAGCCCATCCAAACAAGAGTCTCTTTGCCATATATGAGTAAAGCAGAACAGGAAAACTTAATTTTAAGAATAAGAGACCTACCGATTTTCGATTCTTTTTCATCATGGCGCACAAGCTCATCTTCCTCTTCTTTTGTTTCAGTTTTAACTGGGGGTCCTCCAAAGCTCATGTGGTTGTATTCCAACAAAGAAGTCTTGTCAAACTCGTATCCAGGCTCTGTACAAACCAATCAATATACATTGAAGCATTTAAATCAAGAAGAATCAAGCAATTGATCCACAGTAGTGACAAAAACCACAGAAGTTACAATGAGATTCCTACATTCATGACTGTGTTGCAGAAGTAAACAAAACAAGATTTTTTTTGAAAAAAACATGTTTAGTTGATACACTTACCTCTTCTTGCATTTATTCTCTTCTCAAAGAGACGAATTGGGTCAGAACCTTCTAAGCATGCGGCATAGAGTATTACACTGTCAAGATCATCCAGCAACATGGATCAGAGAGAGCAGATTCATCATTCATACTAATAGCAAAGAATCATAAACAAGTTGATTTTTTTGGAGAGAACGAATGGCTTAATATTTCTAGACTTGAAGAAAATTGATTTTTTGAGAGAGGCTATGTTCTGGGTTTAGGGTTTTAGGTAAAAGCATGAACTAAACCCAAGCTAATGGAACTCTAATTTGAGCCTTATTTTAGTCACACCAAGCCGCATAGATGACTGAACCGTTTCCAATTCTAGTAAAAGCGAATTTTCATTTCCAGCTAAAATCCCCAATTCCTCTCAAATCAACGAAGCGAATACTATTTGAGAACCAAAGAGAAAGAGGTAATACGTACAGAGCGAGCTCGCGTGCGGCTCGAGGACTGCTTAATCGGCCGCTCTTATCAATCTTGGGCATCGGGACATCTTTCACCTCTTCCGCGGAAATAGTCGGCGTACGGAGAGCGCTTCTAGTCGGAGAGAGAAATAGCCGTAGAGACGACGACGACCGTTTATTTCCCGTGCGAAGGGAAACCAAGTTCGTTGGCCGGAGTGAATCAACCAATGTAAAGCCTATAGAACGGTGAGAATCTGGTGAGATATTACTGGAGAAGTAACAGAGACTCGAAGAAGAACGTAAGCAAAGCGGCGAGATGGTTCCCTCCATTTTTGTTTCGAGCTGTTTCTCTGCTTCGTCGTGTTAGTGTGAGAAGCAGATAACGATATCCGTAAAATTGAAAAAAAAAAAAAAAAGAAATATCTCAGGAAAAAGGATTAAAAAACAAAGAAGAAGAAAGAAGCCGAAACATACGACGGCGTTTTAGTCTGACCAAAATGAAAGTTTTAAAAAAGTGGCCTATACAGGGATCGAACCTGTGACCTTCGCGTTATTAGCACGACGCTCTAACCAACTGAGCTAATAGGCCATCACATTCTTAAGTGGTACGGTTAAATACTAGTAATGAAATTGCTTTAGATTGCGATTCTGTGGCAGGTTTCTTTCAAGACAAGTATCAAGTGCTTACAAATTTGAAGTATAATTTATTCAAGAATTACAAATATCAAGTGTTCAGAAATTTCAGATTTTTTGGAGTTTATTCGATTTACTCTTTATTACTGTATAAATTTTTATTCTACAAAATCTTAGAAAAATACTATATTGTTCTTTTTATTCTTCCACTAAAAATACTAGCTAGATTAAAAAAAAAAAAAAAAAAATACTAGCTAGATTCTATAATAAAAAACGGAAATAATAGTATTTTTTTCATAATAAAATTTAATGGTTAATTTAATTTATTTTTGAATATTACGTGTATTTACTTTTATTATTACGTGGTAATCGTAAATAACAAAAATATTTTTATTTTCATTTTCACAAAAAAAATTACTTCATTTTAGCCCCCAAGTAGTTTTTAGCAGCAACCTGCGTTTAGGTTTTGCCTGTGCACCTCCACCACCAACCAACGGCCTTGCATTTCCACATCAAACGTTACGAAGAGATCTGTCACTGCCTTGTCCTCTAAACCAGATCTCTCGGACGCAGTATCACACTCCGTGATCGTCTTTTGTTATCATTTTTGTGTATCGAGATCTGTTAGTCTACTTCGATGGCTATGGAACAGAGGCCAAAGACGAAGATCGTGTGCACACTCGGGCCAGCTTCCAGATCTGTCTCAATGGTCGAGAAGCTTCTTATGGCGGGGATGAGCGTGGCTCGCTTCAACTTTTCTCATGGATCTTACGAATATCATCAGGAGACTCTCGACAATCTT